CTTCACCTTTTGGGCTGTAACACTTCAAAGGGTGTCTCAGCAGCAAGCCAGGGACTGCAGCCCTGGTCTGCTGCCAGCAAATGCTGGGTGAAGCTCCATTATTGGAAACAGCATGCAAATGGAATGAGGTTTTTATTGTGTCTGTGTGTGGGGAGAGTATTTTATCCACATGAACATACCACCATCTCACATGCATTGGTAGTAATTGAAGATAAATCTTGCATGTAGTGCTTGGGAGCTTCTCCAGCAGATGGCTTATCTTATTGAAAGCTACTATAGCAATGGGATAGTCTGCCTTTGTTCTCTGCAAAGCTAAGGAATACTGAGCAGAGATGTGGGACTGAAAGCCAGTTTTGAGTTCTAGGCTTCAGGCAGAAGTCCCTCAAGTTGAAATGTCTCAGGTTACTGGTTAGAGCTTGCAGTTCTCAGCATCATCCAGATCTGTTCTCCAATGGAGTGGAGCCAGGAATGGAGCCAAGAACCTGAAATGGCTACAGACAATGTTATTGTCAGTCAACCTGGAAACAAAGAGGGAACCACTGCTCCAATACCATGGTCAAAGACTTGGTATTGTGGTGTAAGAAACAGAAGCTGGACAAATGTACATTGGTGAGTCTTCTGGTGCTGCAATTCCTTCCCTTTGAATGGATACCTGTATCCCTTACTCCAGCATGTTCTGCCAATGCCAACCAATAATGGTGTGTGGTGATTTCAGGTAATTTGTTAGTAATGCCTTGTGTTGTAAAATACTGTGGAGAGGGAAAGACATTGGGAGGAGAAAACTCCTCATTTCAGGCTGTTCAGCAACCTGCCAGAGGCCAGATTTTGCTAGAGGATTTCTAAAGGCCAAGTAGAAATGCTGGGAACAGCTGGCTCAGAAGGACCTAAAGTCCTGCATTGGTGCTTTGGCCAAGCTGTGAACAATGCTGCTTTTCATGGGACTTTTGGCCACACTTTTCTAATTGCAACATATTTTTCAGGGTAATCCAAACATACCTGATGCTTGCTGCAGGTCATCAGTGAGGCTGTGTAAATCTGTATGTGCAGAGCAGCTCCCACCATGGCACTGGGTATGCTTGGGGCACCATGGAGGAGGACTTCTGATTCTTGCTAAATTATTCTCTTGTGCCTGTAAGATCCCTACTGCTCTGGCAGTGATGTTGCCCCAGAGCTCCCTTAGGATAAGCAAATGTCAAAACCTCAGTCCCAAACTGATTTCTGAGCAGCTATTATAGGGCCACGAGGTAAGGTTACACACACAGATTTTTAGAGGAGATTTTGGTGACTGTGGAAGGAAAAGGCCATGTGTGCCAGACTGGGGACAACAGGAGGGAACTGGGAATTGGCCTGTCCTCATTCCCCATCTCTGTCACTCTGTGGTTTCTTCTCTCACTGTGTAAAGGATTGAGACCACTCATAGAAAAGCATCCACTGTTTTTGTTTTCTCCTTCAGCTGCTGTTTTTTCCTCCTGGGACAGGAAGATGCTGGTCTGTGTCTCATGAGACACGTGTGTAACTCAGGTGTTTCCTCACAGGACAGTGCTCAAAAGACTCCAGGCAGGACTAGAAATGCTCCTACAGAGTGCTTTTGAGAGTTTGTGTTACAAAACATGTCCAGACTATAGAATGGTCCCATACATGCAATTTTATTTTTCTTAAATCTCTACATAATCCCTCAGTTTACTAATCAGGCTGCTGAGGGTGCTGCTCTGTGACCACTTGAGGTCACGTGGTGCCTGAATGAGGTGTTGAGCTTTGCTCAATTTCCAGGGTGCCACTTGGGAAATTTGGAAATGGTCAACCTGTGAGAGTTGAAAACAATACAAAGAGGCTTATATAGCCCTAAGGGGGTTCTAGTAAACCTCTAGGAAGAGTCTAGGAATGTTCTAGAGATACAACAGGAAACCTCCAGAAAGACTAGAACAACATCAATGAAATGGCCAGTCAATGTCCAGAAATCTTCTGGAAAGGTGCTAGAAAACCTCTGAGAAGGCTCTGGAACCCTGTGGGATCCTGCCCTCGTGCTAAGGGGTCTGACCAGTTTCTCTAGGCAGATGAAGCCAGTAACAGCGGGACTGGCTCAGTGCTTTGAATAACGTCATTTGTTTCAGTGACTCATTAGTGCTGAGGAAGTGCTGCTCTCCTGGGCCTGTCTGGGGATGCTGCAGAGGGACCCACCCTGATTGTTTGTCAGGGGCTAATTGGACCTAAACACTCCTGACTTTGCCAGAGGGAGAGGCGGGGGTGTCAGGAAGCTGCTTCTATCCCTCCTGACTAATGGGTTTCATCTCAATTAACCCTAGTGCAAATTAAATCACTTCTAAAGCATGCTGCTCTGACAGATCCCAGAGTCCCTCCAGGAGGCCCTGGACATTTCCTTAGCCTCCCTTTTCCACTCCTTAACTCGGGCAAGCCCCCTGCTTGGCACCATGCTGGGACTGAAGTGGTGGTGGAGATGTTGCAGGTAAAGCTCCCAAGGCAAGAGGTCTTCAAGGAGGGGGCTGAGAGCCCCAAGCCCCCCGGCATTGCTGTTCCTCCCCTGCAGGCATTCAGTGGCCTCATCCTCTCACCTCTCCCCATCACCCTCCCTTATCTCTCCCCTTCCTTCCGCTTCCAGGGCCAGGAAAAGCTCTTCCTCCTTGCCTTTCAGAGGGAAGGGTGGGCACTGCTGATAATAATGATGATGTTGGCCATTTATCTCCTGCATCCTGGTGGCTGAAGCACCCTCCACCCTCACCCCTGCCAGATGCCAGCCAGCCCCAGGCTCTTCCCTTGCTTGCTGCTCTTGGCATTGGTGATGGGTTGGGTTTTCAGCCCAGCTCTGGGGCCACCTTGAGCCTGCAGCAGTGGCAGGACAGGAGAGCTGGTAATCATGGACAGTTCAGGACTGTGCAAGCCTTGTGTGGTTTGCTTGTAACCTCTGATGGGACCAATGGGCCTGAAGGCCTTCAACCAAGGGTGCTGATCTTTGCCCAGGTGGTTTTGTGGGGAAGCAAGGGTCTTTGGTCCCTCCGTGAAAGAAACTGCTTGGGCAGACCTGGTTCGATGTGTTCCTCCAGCACTTGTGGGATTAGCCTGGCCCATGCTCTGTGTCTTGGGAGGAGATGCTGCCCCAGCCTCTGGAACTGGCTTGACTTGGCCTCTGAAATCCTGTTCTGTGTAGGCAAATGTTCCAGCTGGCAGCAGCCCAGATCTGGAGTTTTGTTTTGAGCTCTATACTCCAGTTCCTGGCATTGGTTGCACACCTAAAGCTCTGGGTTTTGCTTAGAAGAAATACCTGTGCAGGTGCTCAGGTGAGCCATCAGTGTCTCTGCCACTGGGGAATCAGTGTCACCCACATATAGCAGAGAGGTGACTCAAGACCATAATCCCAGACATCTCTGCCCAGTGCACTTATTCTGGTGGGCCCTGCTGCCTGACAGGGTTTGGTTCAGCAGTGTGTATGTCTGGGTTTTTTTCTTTGTGTTTGCAGAGCATAAGCAGAAAATGGGCACAGGAGGGTCTACACAGTAAGGGTCCAGGTGCAGCAGGTCCTGGGGAGCAGGGCAGAGTGCTTAGGGGGACACCCTGGGCTCGCTGCCCGCTGCCTGGGGGTAGGGTTGGCCAAGGGGAAGGACAGTGGTTTGGTGGCAACAGCATCCCTGGCCAAGGTTATAAATAGCTGCTCTGGTGACCCAGGGAAGAATGGCTGCACAGGCAAGGTTAATTGTCAGCAGAAATTATGGGGACATTGCTCCTCCCAAGATAACCTGCAAGGGATGAAGCATGAACAAATTTTTCCCCTTCAGAGTGAAGGAAAAAGGGCCTGAAATATTGGTGCAGTGTCTTTGTTCTCAGTTTTAGGGTGGCTCTCCCATTTCATTGTTTTTTTCCATTCCATGTCAATGAGAACCAAGATGGATTAACTTTTTGTCTCCCCACCATGCCCTCCCAGAGGAGGAACTGAGATAGCTCCTGCAGGGCTGGGCAAATTCTCTGTTTAATTTAACCTCACATCAAGGTCTTTTTTATTTTTGGCTTAAGCATGAAATCTGGGGTTCAGGGGTGGAAAAGAAGCAGCTGAAAATAATTTGCTGGAAACATCTGCATTGGACAGCAGTGTTCATGGGCTCCCTCACAGATGAAACCTGATGCTTGCTTCTCTTACAGGCCTGGAGGTTTTGCAGTTTCCTCCTGAGTGGCTGGACAGGCCATTGGTCTGTGTCAGTGCCAGCACCAAAGCTGTGCTGGTGTGATGAGGGCAGTGAGACCAGACTGGGGATGTTTCTCCTCATGCTGGAGCTCTCTGTGCTGCTGTTTCTGTGCACCCAGTTCCCAGACTATTTTGTCCATATTCTTTTTTTTTTGTAACATAGCATCTCTAGCTCTTCCTTTCTCCCAGCTCCCTGCCATTTTGGGCTGGATTGCCTTGCTGTGACTGGAAAGCAGCTCTCTCACACCGGGCAGCACCTACCTGATCATACAACGCTGTTTTACAGCGGGCAACTACCTGATGTAGGGTAAACCTGATGTTAGTGGGGAAAAGTTCATTAGCACTGTTAATTGAAAAGGCACAAAGACTCGATAAGGAGCTTGGCCAATCCTCCCCTTTGCTTTGGCGGGGCTTCCATCAGGCAAGGACTCGTCAGACAGCACAGCTCCGGCTCATCGCACAGTGCCACGGCCGGGCTCAGCCTCCTCCTGCTCCGCTCGCTCCCTGCAAACCTCCGTCCTCCTCTCTCGACATCTCCTTCAGACGAAACTTCCAAGCGGGAAGGCTTTTACCGGCCCAAGGCGGAGAGCGGGGGCACAACAGCCCCGGTTGGGGCCGTTCGTCATTTCCAAACCCGAACCGCCCCCAGAATCCCCCGCAGCCACCTCAGGCCGCCGCTGCAGCTCTCCCGCCGCGCCACACGGGGCGCTGTCCGCTCCACCACCGCGGGCACGCTCCCGCCGCGTGACGCGCCGGACCCGGGTGGCGATTGGCTGAGAGCGGTCACGTGCGCGGGACGCGGCGCGGGGGCGGGGCCGCGGTTGCCGGGGCGACACCGGCGGCGGCTGAGGGGAGATTGGGACAGGTGGGAATGGGGGACGGGGGAATGGGAGACAGGAGGGATTGGGACACCTGGGAATGGGGGACAGGGGGGACTGGGACACCTGGGAATGGGGGACAAGAGGGATTGGACACGTGGGAATGGGGGACGGGAGGAATGGGACACGTGGGAATGGGGGACAGGGAGGAATGGAGGACAGGGAGGAATTGGACACGTGGGAATGGGGGACGGAGGGAATGGGACAGATGGGAATGGGGGACAGGGAGGAATTGGACACGTGGGAATGGGCGGGTGGGAGTGGGGGATAGGGGAGATTGGGGAGATTGTGGCAGGGGAAGTTGAGGGACAGGGGAATTGGGGTGGGAATGTGGGAGGGGTGGGACTGGGGCAAGGCAGAATGTGGGGCAGGAGGGGCTGGGACAGGGAGGATGGGAGGCAGTGGGATGTGGTGCAGGTGAGAGTGGGGCAGGTAGACCGTGGGCTCCTGTGTGTGTGTGTGTGTGTGTGTGTGTGTGTGTGTTTGTGTTTGTGTTTGTGTTTGTTTGTGTGTGTCTCTGTCTGTCTGTCTGTGTCTCTCCTCATGCCCTCTGGAGATGCCATGGCTGAGGGGCTGTGCTGTGTGAGCCCTGTGCTCTGCACTAACACCCCTTCTTTGCCATTTTCCAGCTTTATCAGCGATGAGAAGTAGCAGCAGCCCTTAGCAATGGGTGATGTTTTAGCATATGAGGCTGAGTTACTTGGACTAGTGAAAGAGGTTGGTTTTCTCTATTTCTTTTCTTTTTTTATTTTAATGATTCTTGCAAGGCAAGATTTCTGAGTGTTTGCATTCAGAGCCAGGCATTGTAATTGAGGCCTAAATTCTGGAGCTATTTATCTGGCTGAGTGTTGCTACACTCTGAAATTGTGCTGACTTCTGTCATGCTCTGTCAGTTCAAAAGGCTCAATGTCCATTAAATGCCAGCAGTAAATTTTCTTCTTTGGTTGAATGAAATTACTGGCTAAACCAAGAGGCATCATTCTTTGAGAGATGGTGTTTCAGTTGTCTCTAGGATGCACGAGGAAATTGAGAGATGGTGTTTTCCTGCCACGTGGTACCAGTTCTTGGTTTTCCTGCCACGTGGTACCAGTTCTTTGCAGTCTTTGGCATTTGTGAACCATTCTGCAGAGAAACTTTGGCATTTCATGGGCCATTCATTGAAGCATTAATCACTTAAAAAAGGATTAATCATTTGCTGAAGCAATAATCATCTAAGAAATGTTGTTCCTCTATGTTTTTATCTTGCAGTATTTAGATTTTGCCGGATTTCAAGAAACAGTGAAAGTATTTAAAAAGGAATGTAAAATAAAAGGGAAGCCACTACCTAAACCAGCAAAAGTTTCCTCAGAAGATTCATTGCCTGTTCAGGTAATACATCATTTGCACTTACTTTGAGTAAGAATGAAAACTGAGGTCACTATCCACCCTGTGAGTTATTACAACAGTGAATTGTCTGAACAGATTCTTGATTATTTGAAAAAATCTCCTGTTAGTCTTCTTCCATCACAAGAACCCTCAAGTTTGGGGTTGGGGTTATTTTTTTTTCACAACTGCAGTCATTTTGAACTCCAGGCACTAGTTTTGATTTACACTACTTTAAGTTTTTACTGATATGCTTGAATATATGGGCTTTACTTCTTGTGTTGATGGTTGATTCAGGCTCTCAAAGTTACTAAAGATAAGTGAAGAAAGAATATTTGGGTGGTCATTGAAAGGTGGGACATTTGTGAATAAAACTTTTAATTGGAAGTGTTCAGATGGCACTGGAACTCTTCATTCACTAGCCTGGTGCTAAGAATATGTGGCTTTTCTGTGTTTGGATTTTCATGATGCTTTTCCCTTTCACAGGAAGAAATGCTTACAGCATTTGAAGATGGTGATCAGAAAGTTTTCTTCCAGCTCTGGGAGGAGCATATTTTGTCTTCACTCCATGACAGTGATCCAGCTGCTCAGAACCTGGAGTTCTATCTCCACATCTACTTTGCCACCTTCCTCTTGAAACAAACTATGGGAAAGCCTGTAAGTTTAGTTCACAATTCAAACCTCTGTTTGCTGTTGTTTGTTTTACTTCATTTATTTGTCTTTAGTGTGGATGAGGATGGGATATTTTCTAAGATTTATTCCAAGAATATGTATCCAGTTTTGGCCACAGTCTGCGTTTTAGTTCAGCCAGATCCTTTGTATTGTGGAGTACAGAGATGGAAGTTGGAGCTATCCTTATCCCAAAGTTCCTGAAATATTTCAACTCAGAAAATACCAAAATGGCAATACTTTCATACTTGTAATACTTCAAACTTGTAGATCATAGCAGATTCTTAAAACATTTATTTTGCTTGGAGTTTGGACTGGAACTGTGAGTTGAAATACAACAATTTCTGATTAAATGACAAAGCTCAGTTTTGACCAGCTCAATATATCATGCTGAGAAATATAAATCCCAAGATGTTATAAAGCAAAATCTCTGTTACCTGGGGTTTTTATGATGAAGAGACATTTAAGTAGCCTGAATTCAGCCAGATCAGCCAGGGCTTAATAGCTCCTGGCCTTCACCTGTCAGCTGCTACAGGAATATTTGGATGCCTGCAGTCTGTTTTCCAGCCTCTAAGGAGCTTTTGTTCTGTTCTGTATGCCAGCTTCACTTCCCACTGCTGTGCAAGTGGATTTTTTTGTTTCTGCACTTACCACTGAAATAAAGCATCTCTAAAGTATGTTTTCTCTCTGTCCTGAGTGTAGCAATGGCATTTTTCTTTAAAAGTCTAGCCTGAAGTGAACAGGAATAATTTACATGCAAAAAGCAATTGTATGTCTCTTCTTTCTTTGGACCTGGATGAGAGAAACAATAGCATTAATTTACATTTTCCTTTATGACTGGTGAAAACATGCAGTATGTTCTCTAGTTAAATAAATACTGATCTTTAGATAACAAGTATACTGGAATTTCTAATTTGGTATTAATATACTTGGGTCTCTTATTTTATTTGCCAGCTTTACAGTTCATTTAGAATGGTAGTTTTCTAAATTAAAAATGCTGCTTTATTTCCTAGGACAAAGCTGAACTTGATGAAAGGATTTCTTATTTCAAGGCATACTTGGAAACAAAAGGAGCTGCACTGAGCCAGACTACAGAGTTTCTTCCCTTCTATGCTTTGCCATTTGTTCCAAACCCCATGGTACATCCTTCCTTTAAAGAACTTTTCCAGGTAAGTATCTGTGTGGCAGAGATGGTTTTGTGGTGACTTACACTGACATACCTACACAAATTTGTTTGTAAAGCATGTTTTGGTATTTTTTAGAGTTATTTGCTCTGAATGCTTCCCTGACCATGTGGCCAGTTGTGCTGCCTGGCTGAGCAGCTGTGGGCAGCCACTCTGGTGCCAGGAGATGTCTTCAGCCTGCATTGCTGCCATCCTGCTTTTGATACCAAATCAAAGCTTAAGTGATACTTGCCCTAGGGCTGACTTTGGATGTACCAGCTGATGAGGAGCTCCAGCTTAACACCAAAAAAAGGCATATCCTGCCATTTTCCTTTGGGACTAGCTATAAATAATGAGATAGATGGTTGACCTCAGAGATGGAATATGACTACTCTTTTTTAATTGTACTTAGCAGCATTTTTTTAAAATGTGTTATCTAAGATGAGATCCTCAGGTTTATTCTGAGTAACCCAGGGCCCAAGCTCTTAGTCCACACTCAATCATATTTTCTTGTGGGAATTGTTCAACTCATTCCATGTTAGTGTTGAAACACAGATTGTTTTATGTTTGAGAATGAGCAGCAGTGAGTCACTAGTCTACAAAGCAGAGTTCTTATGGCATATATTTTTCTCAGGCATCTGATGCTTTATATAGCTGGAGTTCCTGATAGTTTGTGTAATACATCTTGAAAAATCATATGCACTCCTCTCTGCAGGAGACAAGGTTTCTTTGGTAATATACAGTGTCCTGTGGTACACCACTGTCTGGATACTGAGTTGGTAAATGCAACAAGTAAATTCTCCAGCATGGTGAAATAAGGGCAAATCTGAGCTGTGAGAACAGCTTGCAATATATATATACAGCAATAAATTTAGGGAGCTCCTGGTACTTGTTGGAAGACAGAGCTTTTTCTTCATTGGCTGGCTTTTCCTCAAGCAGAAACCAGCTTCACTGTAGGCTTGAAATAGAAGGCATGAGTATTTGGTGGATTCCTAGGCGCAGTTTGACTTTTTCCCTTAATTTTATTTCCTTGTCAATATAAGACACTACGTCAGGCAGAGGACAGCATTCCAGTTAATGCTCTGAGTCTGTTCTGCTGGTCTGTTTTTTCTGCATTGGCTGTTTTTCTCCAAATCCTTATTTTAGAAACATTGTGTCATGTCATGATGCTTGCAGTAGTTATTGACAAAACTTACAATTCCCAGATCTTGTTAGGAGCAAAGGATGAAGGCTGAGCAGTGCAAAATTACGAATTTTGTACTCTATTCAATACATGTGAAAATATTTTTTTATCCTTTTCTGAAGTTGCTTGTTCTTTAAAGGTGCTTTTACTTTCAGGGCAGTTGTTGTGTGTGTATATAAGCCACCAACACTATGTGACAGTTTTGTACTTTAAATAAAGATACATTGTGTTTCTAGAACTCTTATATAGGAATAAGAGTTCTTAATAATAATATCTGAACTCCCCTCTGGCTTCTGTATGCTTTCATGGGACTGAGCAAACACATTCACATCAGTAACAGTGAAGGGAAAATTTTAAATCTGGTGTTGGCTGCCTTGTTTTGCCTTGTGGGAAGTTGCTGTGATTCAAGCAGTACTTTCTGCAGAGTGTACATATTTGGTGAACAACTGTCACTCTTTGTTTTTCTTTTCAAGGATTCTTGGACACTGGATTTAAGGACAAGACTGGAAACGTTCCTGTCTCTGGCTCTCAAAGCCAGACAGACTCCTCGGCTTCTCACTATATTTGTATCCTTCTAAGAACACACTTTGCAGATAATTAGAAATACTGTAAAGAGGCAGTATAATTTATTGCAAGAGTGTGCTGATAAGATTTATTGCAGAATTGCAGTAACATTGCAGTTCGGTGTTTTTATGACAGGAAATGTTTATATTCCACATTCAAAAACAGACTTTTGGAAAGGTCATATAAAGACCATGTCCAGATCCATATGAACCTCCATGCTTATTATGTGATCATTCTTTGTTTCCATGTATAAATACAGGATACCCAAAGGCACCAACCTGACCTGACTTCTTTCTTAGCATTTCACTAGTTAGTCTTTTAAATTAGCTATTTCAGAGACTAGCTGAAATTTTTCCAGGGCTTTTATTTGGAGCAAATTATCCAGGGCAAATTATTTCATCACTCATAGGTCAGCAAAGGATCTCAAGTCCCCAGGCAACATTGCAGTTGTGCACTTATGAGATTTTATGTATTTATTGTTGATTTATGTATTCTGTAGAGCATCAGGCACTTGCAGTTTGCCTGGGATAGTAGGAATACCTAGCTTGGTTGAGGTTCTCATTCTGACTCTCTGGAACAAACACTGAAAAGGTGCACATTTTCCTGATCTGCTTTTACTCGTGCAACAGAAGGAGAGTGGACAGTGCAACAAAGGTAAATACCGGGCTGTGGTAAGGATGTTCTGTAAAATTGTCAGGGGCTGTGAAGGTAGTGGGAGGTTTAACTGCAGGGGTGGGGAAACCAGTGATGCATAGCAGAAAGTCCTTGGAAATCCAGACCCCAGCTTTGGTGATGGCTATTTATAGCTTTCCAAGCTCAGTAAGGTTCAAGCAGTCAATAAGTATCAATAAGTATGGACTAGAAATGGGAAAGGACCTGGTAGTGGGATTTGTATTAAACATCTATTCTGTTCTGAAACATGGTAAAAACAAGTGGAGAACCCCATACAAAGTGCATACCAGCTTTCCTTTTCTAGTTCTGATGAAGGTAAGTTGCCTCAGATTCCTTTCCCTTGCTTCCAGGTTTTATGTCTCATTCAGTTGTTTTGATGACTGTCTGATGATCTTAGACAAAGTTGATTTTTGTTCCTATTTACTAATTTTGTTTAAATAGCACCTCCTAAAATAGTGCATATTAGTATATCCTGAATAAGAATGTGTTCATTTAAATGTGATTGGCTGATGTGTTGCATTTTGAGGTGAGCTGCTTATACACACTTTAATGTGTGTGTGTGACTTGTAGTCCTTTAGAAGTAATAATTTCAACTCAGAATCCTGTTAGATGGTGGTAACACTTGAAACATGTGCCTTTTAAAAATCAGTTCAATAAACAGAATTTAGGATTTCCAACTACCTTTCATTGATTTTTTTCAGTTGACTTTCTGCATATACTTTCTAGTTAGGGATTTATATGAGACCAGTTGGACTCTTAAAATTACTTTTCCTCTTGAGTTATTTTATCTGTAGGTTTATCCTGAAGATTTACTTTTTGTAGATTGAATTAGGCAGAAAGTTAGATATTCTCCCAGTGTGAGTTCCATGTGTTTTCTTTGTTGTTTTGTGCTTTGTGTTGTTGCATTAGACTTTCACTGAATAATAGAAAGGTCTCTTGGATTTTTATTTTCCAGAAGTTACACTTCTTCCTTGTGGAGAACTTTCCTGAAGGCAATAATCCCATGCTATTATTAAAAAGAAATAACTACCCAATTGTACCTGACTTATTTGGGCCCTAATTAGTTTTAATTTGGGAAGGTTCTGTGCTTTGTTCAGGGACTGTAATGGAATTCAATTCATGCAGGTCAGCCTGAATTTACAGATCTGTTATGTGCCTTGGAAGTTGAGTCACTCTGGATTTTTCATAAAGGTTACTTGAGGACTGTCTCATATGAAGGTTTTGGATCCAGGAGGTTATTTTTGCAGTATCCTGCTCACATCACATGGGATCCACAGCACTTACTCGCTGCTGGAGAATATTTACTTTATCAGTGAAGGGGAAATGCAAAGGAAATCTATAGGCAACACATGAATGAAGAGCAGTATGGCAGAATCCTGAAAAGACCTTTTCTAAATAGTTGCCAGTCATCAGTCTGACATGCTGAAATACTTCAAGTTTGGGTAGGGTGGTGTAAATGCTTTTGAGGGTGGCCTGAAGTGTTCATAGTGTTTACCTTGCCTGCTTTACCTGCTACAGTAAACTTTACCTGGCCTTTACCAGCCTTTACCTGGCTTCTTACCCATTTGCTAAAAAATTTCAGTTCCTGTATGACTTCCAAAGCTATTTGTGTGGCAGTTGTGCTTAACTTACAGTTCTCCCATATGTTTTCAGTTTGGCTGGAAAGGAAAAAATTTCAGAATGGTTGGCATCTTGCACAGAGAGCTTCAGACCTTCTTTGTGGCCTCTCTGCTAACAGGAGCTGAGGGGATGAGGTATTTGGAAGTGTGTTCAGCTGCTGTTCCCTTCACTGCCTCATTACAAACCTGTGGATGAGTTCACAGCCATTCTTCCACCTTTTTAGGTAGGGGGAGAGTGGTGGAAGTGTGTCAGGCTCCTACACTAGAGAAGGTGGAGTGTGACCTCCCTGTCTGTGAGGATTTGCTAAAGCCTGACTATTTATGTGGAAAAATGTCAGTTTAGAGTATGGGCAGTAATTTTTAAGCAAGAAGAAGACTCCTGCTTGTCCTGGGAGCAAGATTCAAGTCCAACAGCAGCTCCTGAGACCTGCAGCTCCTCTGCTCAGAGCTCTGCTTTGTGCAGTAACTCAGCGGCTGGAGTCAGTGCTTCTGGACAAGTATGTGAAGGTGGGCTGAGATTAGACAGAAAGAGACAGAGCAAGCACAAGTTCAGGAAACAAGTGTTTCAGTGTAGGTAAGTGTAAAGGAATCTCTCACTTAGAGAGAAAAGGTTATCAGGGAATTAAGTGCATATGCGTAACTCTTGGCTGCTTGTAGGAAGTGGAGTTAGAAGACTTGACAATTACACACATGAGAGGGCAGGCAAGAATTCTGGTAGAAACATGCAGTAAAGATGATACCCAGTGCCAGCATCTTCATTTGGCAGAGTCACAAGCTTCACTGTACCTTGTATCTTCCTACACCAGGAAGTCTTCTGTGCTGTATTTTCTCCTCTTTTCATTGACATATGAATAATGTTTCTGGTAGATGTTTGGCCAGAGCTTTTTTTTCCTCCTTGATAAGCTTATCATATGTACAAAGCATTTGTCAGTGCTGGGAGTTGTGTCTGGGAAAGAGAGAAGCCACAGTGTTACTCTGATTCCTGTAATGGTGCAGTTGGATCACTGCTGCAGGATGACATAAATGTCAACTGAAATGCCTCTGAAAGGTACCATTTTCTTTTACCAAATCTGGACTGGAATGGTAATGATTTAACATTTTAAACAAGGAATTTAATACTAATTTTTAGCTGGTAGCTCCCTGATTTGTCTAAATGAATGCTGTTAGAGGGATATGGCAGGAGTGCCATGAGGGATTGGGGCAGCACAGGACCAGCTCTTCCAGCAGCTGTCTGAACTTGGAACAGCTGCTTGCTGCTGTACAGTGATGAGAGCTTCCTGATCTTCAGCAGGAGAAGCTGTCATGAAAGGCTTTCCCCTTTTCAGTAAAATTACTTATGTGTGAGAAGATAGTGATACAAAATTGCAAGAGATGCCAAGACTTTGTGATTCCTTTCTGACACCCTTTTCTCTGTTTATTATTGACAATCCCTGCATTTAACAGCCAAGAGGTAAAATTGGACCCTGTTTCTGAATTTCCAAGACTAGTGTTCATGAGCTGCATTGAGTTTTGGTTATGTAGTTTTTTCCTGCTGACTGAAGTTGGAACTCATATTTTCATCACTGGAAATTTTACCCACTGGGCTATGAAAAGTAAGCAAACTCTGAGAAGGTTTATGCTTTGTGATTTGGTTCTTCCAACTTTCCTCTGAGTGAAAGTCACGCTCTAGATACGTCCGTTGGAAATTTACAAATTGAATGTGTTATGTCACAGTTAAAAAAAAATATATTCCCATTTGCTCATCTAGGCAACAGAATAAAGTGCTGGAGTAGCTAGTTTTGTGCAGTGGTTGCTCTCAGAATCTTTTTTTAGTTTAGAAAATGTTCTTGTTTTGAAGCTGTATCATATTAAAGCTGTGGTAGCAGTTTAACAGTAATGGCTGTGAAATAAAAACAAAATCAAAGTTGAATTATTATCATCAAGGCTGAATAATTTGGTTGTCTTTGGAAGTCATCTTAACTCTACTAATTTTTAAGTTAATATTGATTGAAATTAAGATTAGTGTAACAGCTTACAGAATTGTTAAAAGCTTAATGTTACTGTTCTAGTGGTGTTTTTTTAATTGGTCTGGGAGTTTTTTAAGTGCATTTTGCTGGATGTGAACAGGATCTGTGGCTTATCGTTCATCAGTGAGATAAACTGTGTCATATTGGGCTGTTTAGAACACTTCACTTAAACCCAGAAAGATTCTCAATCTGTGAGAGGGAATCCTACTTTTGTCTGAAACTCCACAGTCAAGCTGGTTCCTTCCCACTGTTTAACAAAACCTCCTATGGTAAATATTGTATCTGTTTGCAGATGGGCCCAATGCCACTTTCACAGCACTAAAGCAGTGCTGGCTTCTCAGCAAACTAATTTAAAACATAATGTTCTAGCAAAATACACAGCATCAGCTGTAACAACAGAATTATTGTGCCTCCTTCATGGTTTTGTCTGGTCACAGAAATCTGCACCGTGGACCACAGCTCCAGGTTCAGTGCCCAGTTCCATGCAGAACACTGGCTTGGCTAGGTCTGAGACTGGGGTGGAGTACACACATTCTGGTACTCAGTTTGCTTTTGTCTCAAAAGGAATTGAACCCGAAGGAACAAAATGTATCAGAAATGTAACTTTTTTATTATTCAGATAGAAATGAAAAACAAATTTTCAGAAACTTAGGATATTAAAAATAAGTAATAGAGTTTACCATTAACCACTGAGTAATGGATCATCCTCTTCACAAATGTGTTCAGTGATGTTTACTGCCTTATAGTTGTGTTGCTACTGTAACTGTGAAGCAGTTGGTCCTTTGGGCAATTAAGGCTTAATAAATACTGGTAGGTGTTGCAATGAAATAGAATCTTGCTAGAGGCATGAAATTATCCTTGTAGGCAAACTCCACACCTCAGAAATTGAGGTTGTCCCTTCAGAGCAGTAAAAAGGCTTGTGGGTTCTGTTGTCCTTTTGTTTGAATGGGTCATGCTATTTTTTTATTATTCTCTTGACAGAAATGATGCAACACCTTCACCAGCAGTTAGTGAAGCGTGAGCACAGGTACATGACCAACCTGAAACGACTGCGCAAGCTGCAGATGGACTACCGCGGTCTCCTTGAAGTCACTGCAGAGCTGGTGGATTCTTTGGAGGCCACAGTCACTGGCAAGATGGTAAGAGATGACCCAGATGTGCACTTGCTTCCACACCCCCCAGAAAATGGAGACCAAAGAATGAATTAAGCTTCATAGTTATGAGCATTTCTGTTAGAGCTGTGGCCCTTTACTAATGAAGCACAGCACTTTGGGTGAGCTGTTCTCTCATTGCCCTGGTGAAGGAGGATAAAAAAAAATGCAGAAAGTGGGTTGAATTGCACTGGCTCAGAAATCTTGAAAAAATTATCACCATCTCACAAGACATCTCAGATCTCTTGTGCAAGTCCCCTTTTGAGCTTTGGCAGCAGCAGTTATTAGCGGGCATTTTGGTGATTACTGATTGCAGTCCAGCCCATCAACAATTGTGTATTTAAAACTTCAGCCAGGTCTGTTTTAAATTCCACAGTAGTGGAAACAATCTTCTTATCCAATATTTTGGTGAGGAAAATATTTGCTCTCTGTTCTGCTAAACCGGACTTGTTAATTTAATTGATAAAGGGAGCAGGGAGATAGGAGTGAATGACTTATTCATCATGTGAAATGAGCCACATGTATGTAAGTGGAGAAGGTACAACTTTTTTAGGAGTATTTTTTGCATGAAGTTGATAGTCTTTTTCATGTGTTGTGCTCCTCTGGAAGCATGAGTTCTATGTAACCTGAAGGTTGTTCTTATGGCAGATGTTAGTGGCCTCTAGGTGCTTTTAAAGGAACTGTGAATTGTTAGCAGGGAGAATGACCTGGCATTTCCTGGGCAGCCTGCTGACAAGTCAATATGTACCTTCCTCCTGTCATCAGCATGAACACCATATGGTTTGTTACTCTGCTCTGGGATCACTGCTGCTATTACTGCAGGGGATAATTTGCTTTTGGGTGGATTATGCTTTACAGCAGATTAGGGAAGGTATCTGCTCAATAAAATCACAATCATTCATTTGCTGCCTCCCATTTACACCTCGTGCTCTCCAGCGATATCCAATTCCCCTCCGTGGTCGGGAGCCGGACGCTGGCTCTCTTCTGTCGCGGATGTTGTTCAGTTCCCTTTGAGAGCCTTGAGCGGGGCACTCCTTTGGTGCTTCCCAGGTGTGTCCAGCTGAGGGTGCTCTTCTGTTAGGGATCCTGGATTCTGGCAGTTCTGAATCCAAGGGGCAGCTGGGTACTGAATAAAGTGATATTGAACTTACAGCGTTCTGAATTTGAAGGGGTTCATTGTCCTGCTGAAGGTCTGGGAAGTGTCCCCAGTTGAATTTCTATAATCTCGGTCCTCTCATCTCTCTTTTGGGGAAAGTATTAACTCTCCTAAAATTAAGCTGTTCTGTTGAACTGTAGATTCCCCAAAACAAAAACACTAAACCCACTGAGATGTTTTACATTGAAAAATAAAGTTCTGTACTGTGTAATTCATATTTATTCTCTATGCTCTACAAGACAGTTGTGTAAGTCCTACTCCTTAGGTAAACAACATGTCAGCGTTGTTTCAAGCTCAAAATTGCTTCATTTTTTAAATTGATTTGATTTTGAACCTTTTGATTCACAAAAATCTGTATGCAAAAAGAGGTGTGAAAAAATCTGGTTTTCTCCTAGACCCTCTGAAAGTGTTTAGCACTAGTCTTGTGAATAGCATAACCATTCCCAGATAAAGAGAATTTACAGTTTTTAAATTTCTGTACAGAATGGTAGTTGCAGTATATACCTTGTGCTTGTGTCAATGAGCCTCAGGTGTGTGATTTCTTACTTTAAAAAAAAACCCAAACAAACAGCCTTTAATATAGAAACACTTGTCTAGTAGAGAGTGTAAGTTTTATGTAATCCTGTTCTCATTTTGTTTCCTAATTTTTAGATTACACCAGAATATATTCAAAATGTTTGTGCTTGCTTGTTTAGCAATCATTTGAAACAATCTGTAACACACAACATTGACTTCACAAGGCCTGGAACTGTAAGTATAAATGTTTGGGATTTTTACAGTAACTGTCTAAAATGACAATACTACTTAAGCTACATATAGAACAATAAATGTTCTGTACTGGGAAAGACAAAACATAATATGTTCAAGCTTGTATAAAAATATGGCAATACATTGTTTTGTTGATCTCAGATGCTGGTCAATGACCTGATTGTGTAGTTATAGCTGTGTAAGTATGGTTAATTCTGTTATTGTGAGGACAGTAAAATTTGTGTCTGTTAAAATGCTAACAAAATGCTTTAAATAAAAATTAATCATAAAAGTGCATCAAAATGTTTTACTAAGAAAATATTGTATACCACTGTTCTACAAAGACAAGCCAAAATCATGAACTGTTCTTATTGTTTTTGCCATGGCAGGCATTCATGTGTACTTAACTTTGTAGCAGGAGAATTTAGTGAAGTGTCAAAGGAAAAGCAGAAGAAAATAAAATTCCTGCTTCTTATTCTAGCCAAGGTTTTTAATAACAATGATGCTATGGGTACATTTTGTTCTTCTTGAAAACTTGCTACAGAGAGATAAAGAGATAGTATAAATGCTTCCTTTTCTTTTCTACGTGCTAGTATTTTCAGAGGTAGGTATTATTCCTCATTGCTCTTCAGGCTGATCTAAATGCCCTCACTTTCCTGTTAATGGTCAGAACTTCTTTCTCTGCCCTGCCATGAGTTTAGGAGGTGCACTCTTACGCAGCCTCCAAAAGCTGCTATTTCAGGGTTTCAGGAAGGAGCCAGCAACTGTTTGTCTGTTACCTCAGTATTAGGTGCTGTCTGCTGCTCCCCTCTCTTCAGATTGATATCATATCCATAGCTTATCTCCCATTCTGTAATGTCCCTCCTCCCACCCCATCTTTCTTCTAACCAACAACTTTCAGATGTCTTTGCTCTTTCTTTGACAGTGGCTTTTTGAGATAATGCTTTAGGTACCTCAGTAGTCTTCTGTATTTTTGCCATCTGATGTTGAGGTTGTGTGCGTTTCTCTTCCCTGTACTCAGATCACCCATTCTGTACAGCCACGTGCCCTCTTCTCTCTGCTCCTGCTCTCTGCTTGCATCAAGACTTCTCTTTTTCTCCTGTGCTTTCAAGGTGCTCCATTTGCCATGGGTTTTGCTTATTATTTCTATTCTTTTTATCATACATTGATCCTCCAGTCTCTTGAACCCTTTTAGGAAAGGGGCAGAGGGAAGTGTCATTGTTAAGCAAGGTTCTGATTTCTACTTCCCTAAAAACATTTCTGCTCCAAAATCACCTTTGCCATTAGACTTATGGCACTATGGCCACTTTGACACAGTCTCCACCGATGCAGATAGGTTAAAGAAAGAGGATATGTTGGTGGTGGATTTTTTTCCCTGCTGGAAGTACATTTTTGTCTCCCTTAACTAGGTTAACCTGAGCAAAGCTGTGTTTTCCTGGCACAGTTGTATCTATTTTTGTACTAGGCTTTTCTAGCAGGACTATTTCTGTGTGACTTTGTGGCTCATTTATCCACACTGTTTGAGGTAGGTGCTGTGGGAGCCAAGCTCTCTAGTGAAGGACCAGTCCAGTTACAGCCCTGAGACTGTTTAGATTAAGGGTTTCTAGACTGGTTTAGGTCACGCCTTGACAGTGAGCTTCTAGCAGCTGCTGTGGTTGAACTCTCATGTTGTTTCTATAAGCAGATCCACACAGCCTCTCTGAGACATTAGCCAAGTTTTGGAGGGCTAATCACAGTCTTTGCATATAGACATTAACTGCATCATAATCAGGTTTCCTCGTCTTATCCTTTTGTCCCCTCTTGATCATATTTTCTTGTTTATTTCCCATGTAAAGGGTTCTGATCTTATACATGAATAGCAAACATGTAGAAATACAAATAAATGTTAGAAGAAAAAATAGATATTTTCTTATGAAAGGAAAAATGAGATTCTTTTCTCATCCCAGAATATTTCTGACCACTCCCTGGCTTTGTTGATACAGGAAGCCAGATGAGATGAACTAAAATTCTGACTATTTGCCACTAGGCCACTCAGGCATGCCATTACTTTTTCTTCAAGGATTCAAGTACTTCATTGTTATACACTCAGATGTTATTGTTCTACCCTTAAGTGGTTTCAGGTTTTTGCATAAGTTTTGGAATAAAGCTGGAGGCACCGTGACCCAGACTAAGTAGCAGCACGAGTTCACAGCATCTGTGCTGGATTTGTGTTGCAAGATTCATTCACTTTTTGCCCATAACTACTTAGAGGCACTAGAGTGTGGTCTTTCCAGCTACTCCATTTCACAAACCTCCTGCTGTAAGGGGCAGCCAGCTGCATAATTACAGAGAGAAGAGACTAGCAGAGGGGCAGCTACTTTGTTCATCCTTACCTTACCATCATCTTACCTCGTTCTGTAGGCAAGATGAGTGAGAAGCTTAAAAAACAGTCATTTTCTATAGAGTTTTATCAGGCATTAAATATGGTGTTTTGTGGTTGTTAGGTTTTTTCCCCCCCCCACTTCACCTTGAGTTTTCTGGATGATCCTGTCTCACTGAGATCACCAATGTCAGGACAAGGCCCTGAAATAAATTGGTTCTGCTGGATCAATATCTCTACATAAATGAGCAGAAAAAGGAATTATTAGCAAGAATGCTAAAACTGCATCATTCTCTGAGATCTGTACTTGAGCTTTAGAGTATATTTTGTTAAATCAGCTACACTGGTAGTTTTTAGTTACACTGGGAAGGAGGATTGTATGAGTACTGTAACCAAAATGAAGTACTGTCCAAGGAAATTAAGGAGTATACCTTGGATTATATCCTAGGTGGCATTATTTGTATGCAGAGTTGATTTTGTTCCCAGTACATTGCTCAACTTTTAATGTTGGAGAAAGTCATATTGTGTAGTAGAAAGCTGTGAGGTCTCAGGCTTTGAAATTACAATAAAAGTGACCTGTATCAGTTGTTAATGTGCAAACATCATTCCTGGCCTGCCCTCCCCCATGGCTGAAGGCCTGGCCTTTCAAATTTGTATCAGGAGGAAAATCCCAGAGGCAAGTCTTACTGAGCTGGCTTTAAGACCTGAGGCAATGACAGCCAGAAGAGTTTTCCATTGTAATCATGCCCTGAAATCTTACTTAGCAAGGGCATCTAGTGTCAGCTCTGTGTTCTCTGGTGAGCTGGATTGGATCTCATTCTTTTGCAGAACAGCTCCATGTCTCTTACCAGCTCTGTGACTTCTGGGTCAGCTTGTGAGCCTGATGTACAATCCATGAACAGGATGCATCTGCTGCATGCAGTGGGAGAGAGGTCACGCTACTGGTACAGCTGGGAGATGTTTGCAAGGCCTCTAAAGCTCTATTTCACCCTAAGGTTTTTCTCTTAGCTACAGTTGAATGTTATCTCCACCTTCCATCATGTCATTTGACATGTGTAGTCCTGAATTGGGAGATAAACCTGAGAGAATTGTCAGAGCAGAAGGTGGGGATTTAAGAATAGAAGGTCAGAGCAGCAGGTCTGACAAGCTGAAGAAAACATTTATTTGAGGAGTTGATAGATTCTTGACTTTTTAGTGTTCCTTTGGATAGGGAGCTGATGTGGGTAATGGTAAATTTGAAAAGTATACTTTCAAATACAGTAATCTATTACAGGACTGTCACAGTCCCGTATATTTTTAACACTCTTGAGATAAGTCAAGTTTTAATATTTTTTTTACCATTTTCCTTTTCTAGTCTTGATTTGTCTGGTGGATAAGAAGCAGTTTGTCGTTTTTGATGCCTGCAGTTTTCTGTTCAATACACATCATGAAGCCAAGAGGATTCTGGCTTTTTATCACAAACACAGTACATTCACACTCCACCAAAAGTAGCACAGGCTCAAGTCTGAAACCCAAAACCAGTTTTTTTTATTGAAGTAAGGTGTACACCTTCCTGGAATATTTTGAATTAGGGATAAAGTAATAAGGTTCTCTAAGTTTTGGATTACAGGCAAAACAGGAACTGCTTCTTCAGATGTGCATTTTCTGTCAGTAATAGAGATGGGTGTAAACCACTGGAGAATCTTTCTGTGACCTGAAAGCTGTAAAATTGTTTGCATGTATTGCACCTGTGTAATGGAATAGAATAAATGACCATTATGTTTTTGCTGCTATTCATTCTGATTAAATTTACCTGCAGCTGCAATTAGGTGAATTAATGTCCCTTGCAAATTTTGGGTCTCTTTGGGTGGGTCTCCACCACTCTTGAAGCTGTGGAAAACTAGTGGGGTGGTTTTTTTAAGTTCTGTCACTGGACAGAATTACCAGCTCATCTGGAAAGTTAAACTGTCACTTACAAACTGTGAACAAGAAAGATTTTTTAATTTTATTTTTGGGATAGTTGTAATGACTACTGTGGGCTCCTATTTTTCTTGTGCTCTTTGCTTTTTTCCTCAAACATGGTTTTTACTACAACTGTACACTTGCCATCAAGCTGTAATACTTGGTGGTAAGTATTCCATTTCTTGCTTATGAAATTTCTGCACCAGCAGACCACATGAAACCTAAGATGAGGGTAACAGAAGGTTTTTATTTTGTTTTTTTTAATCATTCTCTAAACCATTCAGAGTGGATTCACCAGGCATTATTATGCAGATGTTTGCTCTTTCATTTAAAAATAAAGTGCTCATTGCAGCAAACAGCATCTACCCTAAGTGAACTTTTCTTTGGATGGCATAATCAGTTTTCTACATCTCTGTCCCTGGGATTATTTTATATGTTCCCATTTATGTATGGAAAAGAAGAAACAAGCCTACCTCTTCATGTAAGCAAGGAGAAGTTAATATTTTCCTGCTGGTACAGTATATAATGCCCTTTTCACAAGTTGCTGCAAGGTTTTTTGTTTACATAAACTCTTTAAGGGTAAGGTATTGCCTTCAGTAGGGATTTCCACAAGCTTTTCTTGTTACTGTCCTCAAATCATAGAATAGCCCAGTTTGGAAGGGACTTTGAAAGCTTGTCTGGTCCAATCTTTTGTGATTTCCTTTAATGTTAAAACTTTACTTTAATGTCATCTTTTGTCTTGATGTCTACATCCTTTTTCAGTGGCTCAGGTCATGCATGGGTTGAAATGTCTCTCATCATGATGCAGTTTATCTCCTGGTTTCTTTTGCTCATTATTGGTCTCTATTGATGTCATCTTTTGTCTTAACTTTAATTTTAAATTGTCTTTGCCAGGAACTCTCTTGTGTGTGTGTATAGCACCATGAAAGTTAAAGTAATCATTCACATCAGGGAATTCTAGGTATCATAGTAGTAAAAAGAAGAATGTCAGATTTTTAAAATTTGATAAAGAATAAAAAGAATTTTATTTTCTGCTCACAGTGAAGCGTGGCAAGTTTCTTATGTCTTCTCTGTAAGGCTGTATATGTCTGTTAAAGAGCAGCCTGCTAAATAGGGTGTTTATGTGCTTATTCATCTGTACAAATATGTCCTCTAAAGTAAGTACTGGCAGGTTTGCACAAAAAGGCAAATAATTAATATTGGTCTTATTTCATTGTGTTAAACTGTGTACCTTTATTTTTAATTAAGACTGTTCTTTTTAGATACCAAGCTGTTCTAAGTATTTTAGTCTAATTAAGGAGAACATGGCATCTTTTGTACTAAACTACTCAAACCATGAATTAGCACCATTCTTTATTTTAGTAACTACATACTAGGTTTCCTTCCAGAGACTTTCTTAGTTTATCCCTGGAACCTTTTAGCACGAAGAATTGATAACATTGCTGAAACACCTTAAATTGTCTCTATCAGTCTTTGTTATGTGCTGGTCAGAAACTCCAGTCAAAGCAAGTGTGGAGAATAGTGGCAGGGGCTTTCTCAGGAGCTGAGGTCTTTGATCCAGGCCATGTTCAGGGTTTCTCTCTTGGCTGCCTCAGTGGAGTGAGCAGCACAGGTCATATATTCCTGTCAATTTGTCAGTGCTTTGTGAGTAGGTGTTCTGACTCTGACAGTGTGGAACCATGTGCAGACTGGTGTGTTTGCCAGGTGTTGAGAAGAGAACTTCCAAATATATCACAAGAGAGACACAGCAATTTCAGTTCTAAGACATACAAGTATGAGGATTGGGAGAACATGTTTATACTTTTCAAAGCTAATAGTCTGTTAATTTTTAGCTGATTTCTATTGGTTGTTTTTTTGAACTGTGCATTTCTCTGTGATTTATTTCTGTTAACTTATTTTTTAATCTTCTTTATTTTAATGTGTGTCTGTTTGCCTATAAAGGGATATTACTCTATGAGCCCTTGTGATGACGGATATGTAAGTGTCTATCTTTATTTCCTTTCACGTTGCCTGCTCATTCTGTCACAGTCTGTATTTCTCTTTATTTCACAACATGCAGCAATTTTCCCTGCATTTTAACTTGTCATGACACTAACTGTGTGGTTTATGAAGAGCCAGAAAGTGTACAGGGCTTGGGAATTCTGCATGGGGAATGGAATAGATGTTCTGGGTAACCTTATGGCTTCATAATGCACTTAACACAGCATGTCAACATAACAGCAGCTTTGTCCACAACTTTCACATGAAACTCAGCTTCTTACAGCATGCAGAAAGCAATTGTTTCTTCCATAGGATCATCTGTGTATAGTATACATTCTCTCTGAAGTGTGCCAAAACCAGCTGATCCCACAACACCTTTGACAAAGCAAATAAATATTATTGCTCAAGATAATTCAGCAAGTTGATTCATGTTTTTCAGAGGGGTGTTGTATTCTGCATATTTGTATTTTTTGTTCCTAAAGTCAAACTTCCTTTTGGTAGTAAAGATTATGAAATTCTTTCACACAGTTAAAATGATCCTTTCACTGAAAACATAAAATTATATTCTCTGTACTGCCTGCGACTTCTGTAACCCAGATGGAAGTTTGTATTCTGGCAATACTACAAGTACACCATAAGTATCTAATTTTGCCTGTAGTCAGTGCATTCTTTGTGAAGAAAGGAAATGAGTCTACTTCTAAGTAACTCAGTATGTAATCAATTCATAAAAGTGATTGACACCAATTCTGAAAGATGCCAGTCAATTTCAAATAATATGTATTTATATTTTTATCACTTTCTTTAGGTAAAACTAGATTTTGTTTTTCAAGAAAAGCTGCCCAAATTTCAAACATATATATCACCTCTAATTAAAGTAAACTCTTGTGGGCATTCAACTTTCCATTTAGAACAACATTTTATTTTGAGAAATAGTCATAAAAATATTGTATGCAATGGACTATTCCTTACATACTTATTTTTATCTTGATGTAGAGAACACAACCCACATCCACCTGTGGTGAAAGATCACCTGTATCAATCAACCTGTTCCCATTGGTGACATGAATGTTCATAATGGACACTTTTTGCTTGATGTTAAGCATTTTGTTCCTTCATATAATTCTCTGTTTTGAGATTGAGAAAGGTTGATGACAGATGAATCAAATTATTTTTGCTAAAGAAAAACTTTTTGCTTATACAGATTAGTATAAAGCATTAGTTAAATGTAACTTTATACATTGTAGAATGTAATAGATTAGTGTGAAGAGTTGTTTATAAAATTTTTGCAAAGCTGTCTGACTCTGATTCTGAAATATTTCTTGAATATGTGGGTAGCTTTCAGCTCCCCTCACTGTTTATGTATTGTATTTTATACTTCTTTCTGACATTTGTGTTGTCATTACATTATCACACAGTATTGCTGTGTGACTTTTTAATGTACACATCAGATGTCTTAGAGAACCTGGTTTATATGGCAAGTGGGAAGTTTTCATAACAGCATATCTCTAGTGTAAGTAGGAAAAAAAATAATTAAAAACATTTGCAGATCTACTTATGAAATAATACTTTGCATATCCCCAGTAGACCTGCCAGGTTACACAAGCTCAGGGTCAAACCCTCACGGGCTGTGTGGAGCAGTCTTCTTGTTATTAGTGTGTAGCAAATGAGCTCAACATAGATTTGTGAGTTCTGATGATTTGTAGAAATCTGCTCAAATTTTGGTTTTACTCTTCACATATTCATCACGTATCTTTGATTATTAATTCTGAATCTGCATTGAATTTGCACTGAATTCTTGCAGCACATTTTCAGAGTGGGAACTGAGGACAGAATCTGACTTTCAGCTTTGCCTTCAGCATATTATGAATATATACATCAAACAGGAAAGGGGATATGGTTTGAATATAGGTCTGCAGTATTTGATAAAATCAGTTGTGGTTTTGGCTTGCACATGAAGTGCATCTGCTTTCTTTTATAAATACTGATTTTTTTTTTCCCTTTAAACTTCTTTGGTTTATTCCATGCTGTTCATATTCATGCCTGTCTTTGTTCAAAAATAAAGGGATGCCATCTGTGTCTAATGTGCATCGTGACAGAATTATTTGACTTAATGTGGCACCTGGCTTGGCTTTGGCAAGAACCAACACAAACATAAGTCATACCCATGATCCTACCAGAATGAGCTATGCTTGGGCTGTTTTTTCTTGTGTTTCTTTTTCTTTCCTTAAGACACTGAGCTTCTGCATGTCTTGCAGTTATGACAAATGATCCTCTCTCAAGATAGGTTTTGCATGAAATGTATTTTATTCAAGATGAAGTCTATGAGTGTTGGGATGTAGAACCTTGCAACAGGTTCTTCACACTCTGCCTTTCATTGGCTATCTAAGGTATACTCCCACTCAAAAGGTTAAAATCAATGGTTAACCTGTTCCAGGAAAGACTGGGGGAAGGGCTTGGGAGAAAATGCTGAGGAAATAAATATTGTAATCTAAGAAAAATGAGAAGAGAAGCAACTAAATAATTTCTGTTTATGGTGGCTGTGCTATAAGCATTCAATTGTTTAATAGCAAAATAATAACCTTTAGCTCTGGCACTCTGCCATTCATTGGTAGATCTCAAACCCTAGCTTGTTCAAGAGATTGATGCCTGGATCTGCTTTTCAGATGAGAAAAATTGAGGCCGAGAGACATGGAATGATGTGTTTGGATTCTGTCTGCAGTTGGTGTCTGAATCTGGACTAGGAGTGTATGTCCTGAGCCAATGCCTTACTCAGCATGCCACAGATACAGATTAGCTTACTTATGACTAATTGCAATCATGCAGATGAAAAAGAAGAAAGGAAACCTCTGCCTGTAACATGCTTTCATTCTTTTTGCTTATCAGTGGTGCTGACCATTGTCAGATTGAGAAATGACAGTGCAGTGAAGAATAAACTAGCCCCCCAAAACTTACTTTCTTCATTCCTGTTTAGCCTGGAGAATTGAACCTTGACAATTGAACCTGATATAATATGAACTTTATCCTTGCTGCTTTCCCAGAAACACCAAAAACCTGAAAGAACTTCCTTCCTATGCAGGTTCTAGACTGATAAACTGGGTCTGATCAGCAAAGTGACCAGAAGTTTTTCCAGCTCAGTGGTTCTGCCCTCAGAGCCCCAGTGCAGGGCCTGCCTCACTCTCTGGTGCCTTTTTGGTGTAGGAAGAATACAGAAGGAAACCATACTAAATACCTTGCTGTGCTCTATCTGCTGGCTTAAAAAATAATTTGGGAATTAATAGGACCTTGTCCCATTTGATCTGAATGTTTTCCAGTTGAATTTTCTGTAGTTTGAAATTTTATAAAAGCTTGCAAAATCCTACACTTGCCAAAAAGTTTTATTTGTGTAGAAGAGAGATATGTGCATCTTAACCAGTAATCCTCTGGTTAGATTTTGGTTGGAGCACGTTTTTCTTTCTAAGACAGCAAAGTAGTGCATAAAAAAACCCTTTATTGAGAAGCATAGAATCTTTATATGCATCTATATAGCCCTAGTGCCCTGCTCTGTTTCGTTACACATTGCTATTCTCTGTTTGACCTTCCATCTCCAAGGGCTCTGCAATTTCTTTTGCATTTAAGTGCTGTAGTCACTTTCTTCCATTTCCCCTAATGGACAAAGGAGAAAGGTGCTGACAGCGGCAACAAAAGTGATTTGTGATTTCATTGCACATGCAGCTACAAGGTTTTAGGTTTTGACTGGGAAAACAATTTTGTTTAGATAAAATTAACTCTTTATACGTATTGAAAATGCTAAAGAAAATGAACGAGGGCAAAACAGTCTAGGGGCAGATATGATACTTAGAAAGAATTTTGTATTATGTAAGATAAACTGTGATGTGAGAACTGCTGGTCCAGACAGTTTACTTTTGAGGTGTATGACTTGTAAATCATTCATTGACATAATATAAAATGCTTTCCACTGTGCACATAAGCTTATTTCACATCTAATAGAGCAGTTCCTTGTATTACAAGGATACCCACGAGGTTGTTTTCAGGAATATGTCAGCTGGTGTAATTCAATATTCTCTATGGTATTTCATGCTTTTTGTCTCCTAAATCCCAGTTTTAAATCTGACAATAGCATTGATTATATAGTTCCCATTGAAAGAGGCTCAGTTAGGAGACAAGACCAGTTTTACAAGCATAAGTGGTAATGAGAGATTTTTAGCAGAGAGATCAGCACAAAGAAATGACATTGAATATTCTGCAAATACAGCATGTAGTTGACATCAGAATGCATGACATGAAGCATTCTTATGCCAGAATTGCTGCTTCTTTGCTTACCTACAATTAAATCTAGCAAAAAATGCTCACTGACGCAGACAACTTTCATGTGGAACTTTTGTGTGGTGTTGGTGTTCCTTGTTGCACAGTGGTACTGCACTGGCACTGTGTCACCCTGCATCAGAGCAGAAATATCCAGGATTTAATTATAATATCTTAGGCAGAACCACTAAGAAATGGCACACTATTTCATATTGGTTTTATCCATACTAGAATACATAATCCTGTCTTTACATATTAATAATTATATATAGGGATTTATTTTGGTAGCAGCAGGCACTTGATAACATTAATGTTGGAGCAAAGAATTACAATAAATTTATATGCAGGAATGCATGCTGGGTCTCCAATGAAATATTATTGCAATTTTGAAGAGATGAAAATTTATGAAGTCAGTGAATGTGCTTAGCAAGTTCTTCATCTTCCTCAGTGGGCTCAGATAGTAGTTTCTATTAATTTATTTGTTATTATTTTTTAAAATGTTTCAAGCATAGGTATTTTTTGGACTATGTGGGTGAGAGTAATATAGCCAAATCATAACAAAAGAGATTTTGACCTGTAAAACACTTAGGGTAAAAAAAGATTGCTCTTTCTTCAGCCATGTTTCTGGTTTACAGCACAGGTTTTTATAGGAAAAGAATTGCAGAATCTTAGTGAAAGAATTCACTTTGGACCTCATTAATAACATTATGTGAAATTTGGACTTACATGCTGTAATTTCCTTTTTTCTTTCTTTTTGTGATTCAGGCTTCCACACTGTTAAGAGCATCTTTATCCTCTATGTAAGTATTTGTTGCTGAGCTCCATTTCTGTCTGTAGAGAAGGGTTTGTAAACTGAAGTACACATTGCCAGTTGTCCTCAAGTGAGACTTCTCCTCTGTGCTGCCTCTGACCTCAGTGAACATTGATGCAAATATTGTGTGATCTGTGTTCTCCTGCTGAGCAGCTTCAGTAACGTTCTACTTTCAGCAGAATGTTGTTAATCCAGTAAATCTGCCATTCCACACATGTGAGGTTGTTGCTGTATTTTTAGTGTTTCCACATATTTCAGTCCTATTGTTGTAATTGGTTTGATTCTCACAAATCCAGGAAAAGGGGGAATCACTAATATGGATTTTTGGGTGCCTTAACTTAAATTTTTTTGTGTCTGACTTAATAAATTTTGTCCTGTAATACTGAATAGAAATGGTATATTCAAGGTGAAGTTCTATTAAATTTTTGAGACACATTTTATCCTGTTGTTTACAAGATAATGAGCAATTATGCATAGGACATAAAATTTGTTTTGAAAAGGGGTAGGATGGGAAGATACTAAAACATTTTAGTGGATTATATTTAAATATTAAGATTGAAACACTGACTGGAAGCGATTTTCTTAAGAGAAACTTCTATTGCAGTGTTAGATATCAAAATAGCAAGATAGTATTGATGCATAGAAAGTAGTCCAGTATTAAGTCTCATGTTAATTCAGCATACTCCAGGCTATAAAAACCCACTCAGCCCACACCACCTTTGCCTTGGAGAAGACATTTCTGTGTGCATAAGGGCTTGGAGGTGGAGATGGAGCTGCAGCTTTTTACTGCATCTGTTTCACACTGTCCTCATGCCCTTGTGGCCCAGTAGAGAAGGGAAGAAAGGATGTTACTGTACTGTTTTGTAAAAATCTCAGATCATCAGCTGTCTTGTTTTCAGTTTACTGTCTGCAAGTTGTAACGGTAAGCAAGCTGCATGCATAAGTAAGAAATAACCCCAAATTTAACAAATGTGTTATTCTAACATTATAATGGTAACAGAAGTAATAAAAGTGTGAAAATGTGGAAGTTCTTTTCCTGAAGCAGACTTCATGTTTTGGCTCTTCTCACCTCAGTAACATCAGCTGCACTGAATGAGGAGAGAGAGTTTTGATGAATGTCTTTTCCTTTAGGAAGGTGCAGGATGTGCCACTGCTGCCCTCTCTGGATTATGAGAAGCTGAAGAAAGATTTGATTACAGGGAGTGATCGTCTCAAGGCCCTCCTACTGCAGGCTCTGCGCTGGGTAAGGACAGGGGGCATCCAAACTTAGATCCATTTAGCAAACAACATGGTTGTTCTGGTGGTGAGTTCAACATGACAGGCAAATTCCTGTTGATGAAGCTTCCTAAGGCTGTTGAGATTATGAAGGCAGCCCAGGCAGGTTTATTTGTAGTGTAGCAGTGTCCTTCTCATCTGAGGAGGGACAGATTTCTCACACAAGGATTTCCCAGATTTCTGGGATATTCAGTGGAAATAATTTCTGATGTGCTTTCAAATAAATTGTTGTTTCAGGCAGTTCCCTTTTCCATATATCATTTTGGTTTATATTTATATAAATACTGGTGTATCCAAGACATACCTGACTCTAATCACCAGCTTTCCTTTATAATCAATATTTTACAGAAACCTACCTTTTGGTTGACTCGTGTCATGTAATGACATTTAAGAAAAATTACAGGTGACAACAGGAAGTTACATTTTCCTGCTGAAAAGGAAGCTGATGTCTTCAAAGTGACAGTCATGAAAGTTGATAATAGTGGAATTCTGATCAAGTTTCACTGTCTGTTTTCACATAAAAACAATCAGTTGTTGTAACCAAAAGTACCTCTTGCCCAATGTTCTCTCTCAAATGATTAAGAAAAGCACCACATCTGTAAGTATTAGAAGGGCTTTTTTAACTTTATGGGAAGTAATTCTGTGTCCTTCCTGTATGGACAGTCATGACAGCTCCCAAGTAACAATTTTGTACTGGATCACAGAGTTGAGGTCAGGTCAGTTCATTTAATCTCTTTCCCTTAGGTCACTGAGGTTGAATTACTGCTCCCCATGAAAGAGATTCTCAACTATAGAGTATCAACACCTTTAAAATCTCCAGGGGTCATCAATCCATAGTTTTGGCTTTTTATGTACTTGACTTGTTTACTTATGTTGTTATTTGTTTTAGCGCTTGACAACATCATATCCTGGTGAACAGAGAGACACTATCATGCAAGCCTACATCAGTAATGACCTCCTGGACTGCCACAGCAACTGTCAGGTCAGCTGAAACTGAGTTGTCAGTTGTCCAGCTTCTGTGTGATATTGCTCACTTGTATATATGAAGTGCTAATCATAAAATTTTATTGTTCTCTGGAAGAGGAGAAGGAAAAAAAGGTAGTAGTGCCAAAATTGGGTGACACATTTAGCTCCCTGTGCTTCACTTCTGTGAGTTGAACCGAAGCCTGAGGCCCTCTAAGTCTTGCTTATCAGATGCTGTGCCTCTTTTTGAGTGATTGTGTATTGTTAAATAATACACTCAATTCATTTCACTGATCAAAGATAAGAACTAAATTAGGACTTGAGTCCCAGTGCGCCGTGGAATGTGTCATTGTGCATCTGCAGTGATCAACTGTGTTTCTGTGAATTTGAGGTGGATTGGCACCTTTCTTTAGAAAGGGGAATTCTGGTGTGTTGATTTTGGAAAGTTGTTTCAGTCCCTGATAAGCCAGTACTGTTGCTAAGAAAAGCACAACTTTTTTTCATTGGTTTTAGTGGCTACTGTGCATAATTGAGTTTCCCAGGGGTTTGAGGCACTGAGCCTACTTGGTTTATTGTGGCTTTATTGTCTTTGCAACAGTTTCTTGTACCACTAGGAAATGTAAAGGATTATTAAATCAACCATCAGTTTTTCCTCCCTCTGAATTTCTGTAAGAGGGAAGTTATATGTAAAGCCTGAAATAAAACAGAAAAGAAATAATTTCAATGTGGTGGTTTTGGTAAGTTACTGAGCTGCTTGCCACACTCTTCATTGTCAAAGAAAAGCATTCCTGTTCAGGTAATGTTACTGCACTTAAGTTTATCAACAAAGCTAAGTTGTTTGGTTTGTGGGTTTTTTTTTGTCACTGACTGAATATTAATTTTAGGTACCAGCTTTAACTGGACTATGTTGGCTCAGTATAACTTCCACTCTACACCATAAAATTTAATGGTGTTTTAACAGACTCAGATGAGAAGTTGTAATTTGCCTATTTGTTCATTTTCCATCTCTCCTTCAGCCCCCTGCCAATAAAGAAAGAAATTGTACGTCAGATTGACAAATCAGTATGCATTCAAAGGGTTTGGTTTTTTCCTGTGTAAGTTTAATGAAGCTTTTAAAACATTATAGAAGACAAACTTTTGTGTTTTCCTTCTTTGCCATTTATTAACATTGCTTTCTTTTCCAGAGAAGTGTCCTCCAATTATTATATTCTAAAAGTGAGGTAGTCAGACAGTATATGGCAAGGCTCATCAATGCTTTTGCTTCACTGATAGAAGGTAAATGATTCACTGCAAAAAAATAAGATAGTATTTTCATATAATGCTTTCTTATTGGTGCTTTACAAGTGCATGTCAGTGCATGTGGTAATTTAGAGCCTTATTTGCACCCTTTTTCTAGTGATTGACTATCTTTTGTAGCATGCATTCAAAACAGCTTTTCAGTATCTGGAATGTTTTCATTTTGACACTCTATATTCAGTATTTCTGACTTGTTTTGATGATCTGTGATCTGTGTGGGAACTTACTCAGATACTGCCTTTAATATAGTCTTCAGTTGCTCCATGAGGGTTAAAGAGAAAAATCCTCATTAATCAGGGGATTTTTTTTCCATTAATTTTCCCCCATTAATTAGGTTTCCTGTGGGCAGACCTGCTACCAGGTTGTGCAGTAGTAACTGCTGTGGCTCCTGCATTTTCCTGGTCCTCACCTGAATAAATCTTTGTGCATCACTGCTAACAATCTAGCTGCATATGTATCGAGCTTTGTATCTCTGCCTGTCCCAAATTAGCTCTTGGTTTACTGCTATTTTTGGAGCTAAGTATTGCTAGGTGCTGAAATCTCATTTGAAGTCAGTAGCAGGAGGGCACCTGACTTTCCCAAGCTCTTTGGACATTTCTGTTCTTTTTCTTGATTGTACAAAACTGCTAGATCAGAAAGCATATACTGAAAGTGGATTCTGTGTGGTATTGATTTGCAATTGTGGACCTCTAATACCCCAAGTGTCTGGATTAAATGCAACTGGTCTGCTACACAACTTTGTGCAGGTTTGTTTGGATCTTGGTACAAGTTTGTGGCTTGTCAAGAGGAAACTGAGGTCAATCCTGCTTACTTTTCCAAAGAGAGGGAGGTTTTCTGTCATAGCTGCTATCTCAGCATCTGTTCTTTCATCGCTTTTTGCATCAGGTCGTGCCTACCTTTCTCAGAACCCAACCTTGCTGCAAATGCTGGAGGACAGACTGAAAGCTGAAGACAAGGATTCCCTTACATGGGAGAATGTTCTGGGGGCTCTGCAGAAATTCAGCCTCAGGTGATGAAAGCACAGCGTGTGGTGGTGACAGCAGGGGAGGAAATGCAGGCTAGTTAGGCTCTGTTCAGGGAGGAAAGAAGAGCACCTGATTTTCCCATAACAATCATCAGAACCTCTGATGGCTGATGAAAGCAATGTCACTTATTATGGAGGAGAATTCATTTTTGCTGACTGAATTAACCTGACTCCCTACCAGCTGTCAAGGCCCAAGTAAATATGCATCTCCTGCCACAGCCTTGTGTGCTTTGTATGTGTTCCTTAACTGAAGAAAGTGAAAATCTTAATGTAGAAAGCTCTGACAATCGTACACGGGAAAAAGAGTTGTGTTACATTCCAAAGCATAAGGTTTTCATTATCCTTTCTGCAAACATTTTTCAGGGATTTCATCTTTATCCTGTTGACCCCCTTTCCTGGAGCTGTCTATGCACAGGCTGTCTTTTTTCTTACTTTTATATTAGCAGTCTGACTCAAGTGCCCGCCACAAAAGAAATACACAAAAGCAGTAAAGGGCGTGCTCTAGTTATCAAATAAGTATGATCTTAGGAGCTCTGTTTTCACAGCAGGCAGGAAGAATACTGAAAATGTGAAAGTTTTTTATTTTCTAAAAAGTAACAATCTTATAGAAGGTTAATTCCAGATACTTGACATAAGGGAAACTTTTTAATATGTGGTCACATGCTCCCTTGTTTTGCTTAGTCCATGCCACAGACCTGCTGCAATATCCAGCACTAAGAAACATATGAACTTCCAGGACCAAAGCCAGGAAAGCACCTGCTTTGATCTTTGCAATTTAAATATAATGCCTCTTGGAAATAATATTATGAAAAATTCTGTTCTTCAGTAAGACTTTTCTACCACTGCATACTTCTTTTTTTGTATTGTAAGGTGTAGAATTTTTATTGTAAACCATGGTTGGCCACCTGGCATTTTATTCACCATAGTCTTTGAGGGCAACTACAAGTTGAGTTAAAAGAGCTTGAGATTTAAGAATCTCTAGAGAAAAGTGCAAATAGATTCAAGCAAAAAACCTCATTTGTCAAATTGGCAGTACAAAAGTGCTACAGTGCTATGGCTACCTGTGACAGAAGAAGTAAATAATTTGTTTTATGGATCTGTTGTGTGTAGCTGCCTTTTTAAACCAATTAAAAAAGACAATTGAAAATGCCATTTTAGCTGGAGTATGAAGCCCTAGAACAATGAAGAAATTTACCTCAGCAGTTCACAGGTTTAAAAAGAACAAAATAAAACAAAGGACAAAACCCCCCAATCTATCCAACAATGTTTTAGTCCTATAACCATATGGGAATCTCCATCTTCGATTTCTTCAGGCTTTGTTAATTACTTGGTTTAGTGATTCTGCCAGAACAGGTAGTTTAGGAATTTTCTTTTTTTTGGACAGGCTATTGTATTTTTAATGTGCTTGTGCTGGCTATAAGTGTATATGAAAGCTATTTATGTTGGGATCTGACATTTGTGATTTGTGATCTGTTTTTGTTTTTTAATCCTAGGCGCACACTGCAGTCAGCAATGATCCAGGATGGGCTCATTTTCTGGCTGGTTGATGTTCTAATAGACCCAGATTGCCTGTCTGATTACAACCTGGAGTATTGTGCTGCCTTACTCATGAATCTTTGTCTGAGGAGTGCAGGTGTCTTACATTTTGAATTACTACCTTATTCCAAGAAATAGATAGAGAAGATTGTGAATCTTTTTCTCCTGTTTTACCAGGATTCTTTCAAGTGGCTACAAACAGCAGCAGGAACGACAACCAGAGATATTTGAGTGTTATAACCAATGCTTTTGAGCAAATCTCCTTTCCCAAGAATTCCAGCTATGGGAATTCTAAAGAATTAAGCAACGGCACCCTTTAAGATTTGATTATTTTTTTATATTGGCATGTGAAGGCTGCCATTGCTACATTCAGGCCCACTTTTCAAAGGACATTTTGTTTGTGTCCACTTACAGACTCTGTGTTAGAGATTTCTTTGTAAACAGACAGAATTGGGTTGAGGAGTAAGAGTGAGGAGCTTAACCTTCACCTTGCTTTGACTTCTACAAAGCAGACATTCCCCCCAAGAAAATAAGATCCTCTCTGTGTCCAAGAGACTTAAAAAGAGCATAAATTATATTTCCTTTTGAAAAGGAAAGTAAGGTAAGGGTGAAAAATCATCTGCTTCTTGTAAGCAAAAAAATGCCTTTGGTAAATTTTTAAATCCCCTTTGTGTTGCATCCTGTCCAAGACTACAACTGCATAAATCCAGAGTAATTTCAGTGATTTGAACTCAGTTATGCTGAACAGCATTTGTCAGGAACAAGAAACAATACTGCTCTGTGCAAACTATATTCAATACTGATTCTAAAAAGTAAGAAACTTGCTCTGATCTGTTCTGTTTTTCAAGCATATTTATGTGTTCTGCCTTTGCAGGGAAGAAAATATGTGCAAGTATCCCAAACGCCATGCTCAGAGTTCTTTCTGGTCTTCTTGACCATGAGAATCCTAAGGTATTTGTACATCAAACTTTGGGTTAATGAAAAGGTGGAAAGAAAAATTTAAAAAAGAAGAAAGGAAAAAATGTAAAAAGTAAATGGGTTTTGTTTCCTTTATTAGATCCTTGTAAATTAAGTTGCCTAAAATTCACAAATGCATATATTTTATTTTGGTGAGCAGAGATCTTTCTAGACAGAAGCGTGTCTTGCTTTAACAAACATTGGCAGCTAAGAATGGCAGCTTTGGATGCAGTTACCATGCAGTCCATGTGCCTTGATTGCAGTTTCTGATGCTGCTTAAATGTCATGCACCAATCCATCTCGAGCTTGACTGTTCATGAGATGAACAATGTGTGATGCAAAACATCAGGTGCAGGGGAACGCATTTGCTGTGGTTTTAAGGAATGCTGTAAGAAAGTAGAAGACTTGTGACATTCATGAAGCTGCTCTGGCTTTATCATCCTGCCTGAGGCTACAATGCTTGAAGACTGTCTGGAGTTCATGCTGGCAGAGATTTTTCCCTGTTCTTTGTCCTGTTTTTTGTACTGCTATTAGTGTTTGTCAGAAATTAACCTTTTTTCTGCTTGTCTCTCTTTCTTTTTCTTATTTTTTTTTCTTTCTTATGGCTAGGTCAATTTGCAAGAATACATTATCAGAAGCAAGGGGGCTGTTTGGGAAATTGGCATGCAGCACATTGGTTTAGATCAACCATATCACAGTATATTTGCATCCTAAAACTTCTCTGCTTCCCATGTGGGAATTTTTGCAAGTCCAGTCTAGCCTGGTTAAACTCTTTGAAGTATAGTAATTTTAGACTTTTGGTTTTATATTTTGATAGTCAACTAGGAGGAATGGAAGAGTTTTTCTTCATGGTATTACTATTTCTTCCTCTTAGGTCCAGTCATATGTGAATGGAGTACTGTACAGTATTCTGGCCATCCCTTCTGTCCGAGAAGAAGCCAGAGAAATGGTAAGGAGTGCTGCTTTGCAGAGCATGAAAATCAACATCTCTGCCAGAGATGGCCCAGATGGGGACCTGCTGAGCAGGGCACAGCAGGGCTGTGAGGTGGGAGCATTTTAAGGGAACCCACAAGAGGCCCTAATCCTTTGAACCTCAGGGAAGTATGAATTATTTCTCAAACACTTCTGCCATATTTCCAGGTCTTTTTCCCAGGAGTGGAGCCCCAGTAGAGTGAAGGATTCAGTCTGAATTATAAATTAAAGGTGTTCTTTTAGAATTGTGTCCTTCTAGCATTTTGTAAACTCCTTGTGGTCCCAGGAGATGCTTTCATCTCACCTGCTACTTCTTCCCCTTATTCTGCACCAGTGAGTAGCCACTAAAAGGACTTCTTGCTGCTTTTCCTTCTGCCTGTTGTAGACATGGTTATCTGGGGAAGGAGCAGGAGGAAGGTTTCAGAACTAGGAACTGATTTCCTGTGAAAGTCAGTCTAATGGTAATGACTGTGTTTCAGCTTCTGTGTTTGAGGAAGCTGTTCCTGGGATAGCAGCATGTCTTTGTATCTTAAGAACTAACCCAGAGAGTTATGGAGACATAATTGTTATCAGATGTTCTATCTCACAGAGGATTGCAAGTGATCATAAATGCATAAAGACACAACATCAAGGCTATAAGGAGCCATAAAGAGAGAGACCAAGTTTAAAGTCAAATCTGGCTCTGTTTTCAGCTTCCTTTCTCTGAACCTTGCACTGTTGTCTCTGTGGATGTAAATTTTACCCTGTTCTGATGACTATTGTGTACTGAATTCAGAAGGCAAAAGCAACAGATCTATTGTAAAAATTTGCTGTTCATCATGGACATTTCTCTGTTTAAGCCTCAAAGCAATCTAGAAAACATATTTTTTTTGTTTGTGCAACACTTGGAGCTGGACACCGTGGTTTGCTTCACACTGCCTCTGTCTTCCTTGACCAAAAAAGAAAAAAGATATTTTAGCTAACAGATCTCTGTCACTGTGGTGACATGAAACACTGATCTTCCAATGTTTTCTGCTACATCCAGGGGATGGAAGAAATTCTGCGCTGCTTTATCAAGGAAAGAAATGAAGAGATGGTTCGACAGATGGAATTTGTTATCAAGCAACTCAATTCAGGTCAGAACACAGGCAGCTATCAGAGCTTTAAATCTTTCACAAAAACCATAAAAAAGCTCATGTTTTTACTTGGCATTGGAAACCTCAAAGAATAACAATAGTGTGATGGTCTGAGAGAGGGTGAATAATGAAAGTCAGGATTTTAAAGTAATGTATTTTAAAATTTCCTTTATGTTCTAGTAATAAAGAAGAAATAAAATTCTGAGTAAGACACAATTCCAAAGTTTTGGAATCATAAATAAAATTACCTTTGCTGTTTTCTTTCATGGCAGTGGACTGATAGTAATGAGAGACTGCTGCCAACTGCAAAAATGCAGTAGAAATTTGTAAAATAGGATTTAGGGACTAGATCTGTCTCTTGCTGCATTGAGGTGTAGCTTTATGTGAAATGGCTTATCCTGAATAGGGAGCAGAGACCATCCTTTTTGGAGAGGATGTTGATGGGTTATCAGAGTGGTAGATGCTGTTAATACAGACTGAGAAGGTGGAATATGAATTCCATTTTCTGTTGCCTGTGACTGAAAGGAAGACTGAAAAAAGAGAAAACAAATAATGAAAAGGAGATGAGCTGTGGTTGAATCTTTCTGTACAGTAAACATAGAACAAGTTGAACTGCTCTGTTTGGCTTTCGGAAAGAGAACAGAGCCTGTCATTTTTTTTTTTTTTGTTCTTTTACAAGCTAGAACTTTTACTAACTCTGCCTTGTAAAAGAACAAATAAATTTTTTAAGTACTGTATTGCCACTATACAATATTTGTTCTTGACGGTTTTGTTCTTGAACCACTCCTCTTCTACCTGAAAATGGCATTTTTAAGAGCTTTTGTCTGAGTCATTGATGATTCAGATTTCCAGTATAAGCCTGGCCACTCTTTTCCTGAGGAAATAATTTTGTCCAAAACTTACAATAAGTATTCTGCAGGAGTACTAACTTTTTATGTACAAAAGCAGTATAATATTAAAGTACTTTTCGGGAGAAGTAGAGTCTCTTATTCAAAAATATTTGAAAAATAGACAAACTTGCAAGTGCACACACTTTCATTCAAGTCTTGTCTGTAAATACAGTGAGGTGTCACTGTGGATTTTCTGAGAAAGTAACTATTCCAGAGTGTTTCTGTTTCTGCCATTTTCCAAAATATGAATTGAATTGAGTGATTTCTAGTAGAATGCTTATAGGATCAAATTATTACAATAGCTGTCCTGAAAAAGACATGTCTGTATGAGAAGCAGGTTAAATCTTGCTCCTGTAAAACTGAGGAAATAATGAGATTCTGTCAAGGTGTACATGTGCAACTTAACTGACACCATTTTGTTTTGCTTCTTTCTAGAAGAGCCATTCAATGACAATATTGTGTCTGATGATGATGAGGAAGAGGAGTATGAGGAAGTAAGTAAAAGCTTTCTGGCACCTTTTAGAAAAATCCTTAACCTTCTAGAAAGAAAATATTTGTGTCAATAAACCAGACATTGTTTTCTGGTTTTGGTTTTTACGTTTGCTTAATTATTCTTGCATTAACAAGAAAATTGGATCTCTTTCCATTACCTTTCTTTCATTTGAAGTCCTACTCTTTTATTTTAGTAACTCACCACCTCTGTGATAATTAAAGGATTGACTGGACATAAGTGAAGAGATGAGGAGTTACTGTAGAAGTAGGAATCTTGCTTTCAAGCAGACCTATTGGATACAGTTAAAAAAAAAAGTATATATTACCAGAATAGTTTATAAACAGGTTATCACTTTTTCTTAAGGTATCATTATCTGTTCAGGGTGTGACTTCATTTGTTGTTTAAAAACTATGAAATATATTTAGTAAATTGCTGGAATGTAAGAAAGGGAAATGGTTATTACAAATAAGAAATAAGACTCATGAGAAAATAAAATAAAATAAGCATGAGAAACTATATCATAGTAAATATAAGCTGATTAGCTTTGCATTTCCTTCTCTGCTAATAAATGCATTCTACACCAGTATTTCAATATCTTTTAAGAAGCTGTCTTCATAGAGCCATGGGTGTAGACAACATACTGGATCACCTAAATTAAAGCAAGATGTAAATCTTGTGAGGGAAATGTTATACCCAGTTTTCACTTGTGGTGTTGCCATTTCTGCATTGCCATAAGTGCACAGTGGAAGCTTGAAAATACAGTGTCAGCAGTTATGTGGGAGTTTTATCTTGAGGAAATCTACCCCTCTGCATTTTTATTTTATTCAGAAGCCTTGCTTGAGAAATTTAAAAGAACAGCTGTAGTAGATGTCCTGGAAACAGTATTTGTGCATGCTTAGGTGTGTGTATGTGTGCAAATAAATACATTCATAACATGTGTTTGGCCCTGAACAAGTCAGTGACATGGAGAGTGAGTGAACTGCAAAATGTTTTTGTATTAGAAGTGTTACTGCAGAACAGATTCAATGAAAACCATGTTTTTAGACTAAATATAAGTTTTTTGTCCTGAACCAATGGAGAATAAGACAGATAAAACATAGTTGTGTCCACATTCTAGTAGCTCATTGCACATTAATGAGAATGACAATAACTGAGGAAAACCAAATCTAAAATTTTTCCTGTTACTGCAGCGTGACAGAATGCATTTTCTAGTGCACATTGACCTTTTCCTGTTGTGGGAGCAGATAAAAATGCAAATATCCTGACTGCAACAGGTGTGGTGTGCTCTCAGTTGCTATGAGGTGCAGCATCATGCAGGATGCAGCCTTTGCCTGGCAGTATCCAGGGAAGCCTTGCACTGGTTGAATTATTTATTCATTTTTTGTGTTCTTTTGTGTTGTGGCACAATAGGTGGTAAACTAATAATCCCTTTTCCTAAAGTTAGAGCTATGTGGAAATTCGAAGTTTAGAGCTAGAAAATAAGTTTTATTTGACAATCAACTCTCCCATTTTTATTCTAAGGGGAGAGTTCTAAGTTAATTCTAAGGGAATACAGTAAACTTTTGTTTTCTTGTAGGATTAGATTATTGTAATTGTTTCACCTCCTGCAATCCTGAAGTCTGTTTTTTATAATCTTTCCACTCCTCCAACTGAAAATCAATGGTTGTGGTGCAAGATGGCCTTCCTGGATATTAATCATTAAAACTTCCCTTTGCTTAAAATGCTGTTTAATTCCTTTTAACTGACATTTCAAGGCTTTGAGTGTCTTGGGTGTATGGTGAGAATCCAAGGTGATAATACCTTTGCCTGAACTTCAGTATAGTTTTTTAAAGGATACTGTGTTTTGTTGTGAAAACACATGGATAAGGAGCTCCTTCCTGAAAGGTGTGGCATTGAATTGCATGATAATGTTCAACACTTCCATCACGTCACCTGTTCCTGGGAATGAAAGGAAGGTGAATTCTCCTGTTCAGTCCTACCCCCTAAATGAGTTGCTGCTGCTTACAATCCCAGCAAAGGCTCTAGGTCAAATCCTTTTGAAATGTATTTTTGCCACTGGACCATCATGTGATTAAGATGGACTTCTGGCATTTCTTGTTATTTGACTCAAAAAACAACTGCAGGCTTTTGTGTCCAATTCCAGTTTTTCATTAGCTTTGCCATTATATTAAAAAGAAAAGCCAAATTTGAAACTGTTTTTAGTGTAACATTAATTGCAACACATTCTGAATCCTTATTGCTGCTGGGAACTATAATTCTGTTCTGCTACAAGGACATCTGGTTTCTTAGTCCCTCAGTTTAGAAAATATAGTTTACAAATATCATGGCAGTAATGCATAATGTTGTTACTTTGTTAAATAAACAAAGATTTGTTGACTCACTACCTCAATAATTGGAACTCTTTTGTATTTTAGAATTGCAGTGAGTTATTGTTTTCAATGGTGTTCTGTGATAACATCTGATGTTGTGATCTGGCAACGGAAAGTTTTGGAAAATTTTATCCAAAACCTTGCCTTTATGTAACTTTTAAACCACTACAGACTGAATACATTTCAGTATATGTCCATATATTGCCAATGTTGTCAATTTAGTGACATGCTTTCAGACTGCTTATTGATGTTAGAATTTGTTGCTCAATACCTTTAGAACTCAAGAAACAACAAAAACTCTCTCATGCAGCCTTAATTTGGAGGTTTTGCTCCAGCTTTAATTGTTTACAAGAGCGTGCAAATGTTCCCAGTGCTGTTACTATTACCTTTCATGGGGGTTTTTTGCTTTTATCTGTGTTTAATTTAGAGTTGATGAATTCTCTCCTGGCTTTGAGCAGATCTTGTGGTAATGGCTACTTTCTCCTAAACACTGTGGCTAAGATGCAGTTGAGCCTGTTAGAGGAAAATTCTGGGATTTCTAAGGGCATCATACGTTCAGAAATTTAAGATTCTGTACTGTGTAACGCTGGAGCATGTAACCATGTGTAAAAAATTTCTCTGTGTGTGCTGTTATTCAGAAATAAATTGGCTTTTGTGTTTGGCTGGTAAGCTTTAAATTAACTAGTGTAGAGCTTAAGATATACTGGCTCCTGGAGTACATACCCAGCCCTGAGATGTCAACCTTCTGGGGTGTGTTGACACCCACAGTCACAGTGTGTATTTCCTGGTGCTCAACATTCTCTTGACTGGTCTGTTAAATACTAACTCAATTTATCTTCAATATTTGATCTTTGCGTTTGTTTTTTTATTTGACTTGGACCATCTTGAAAAGCTGCTTGTTAAAGTGAGTATGTGATATTGTAGCTGTGATTCCAAAGCTTGGTTACAAGCTGGAGCTGTGTGAGGTGCCTGTACAGTGAGGATTTATCAGACACCCTCTGATCCGCTGTCACTCAGCACCTGGCAATAAAATCAGAGAGCTGAAGTGTGAAAATCCACTTCAGTCACAGAGCACATCAAAAGAAAGGGCTTAATCACAGGGCTTCCAGCCATTACCCTAAAGGACTTGGCTTCCAACATCTGCTGCAGACTGTGAGCAGTGGGGAACAGGGCACCAATTGTGTTATTTCAGCAGTGGAGTGATGGCACATGGGCAAAGTCCTTATTTTGTACAAGGAGGCAGAGGACAGGGGGACACTTTCAGGCTCGGTTACCTGGCAGGTTAAATAATGTCAGGGAGCAGGATTGGCTGCATTAACAAACCTTGTAAAAAAAAAAAAATCCCCCAGACCTATTTATAGAGCTTATCTTTGCAACTTCCCCCCTCCCCTAAAAATACACCATATTGTGGACTTTGGAGTGTGGTTTCTTGGTGGGGGGTGGCAGGTGATGGGTTGTTTTTTGCTTGGTACAGACGATTGTTGCCTAGTCTACAAGTGTTTGTCCTTTTGCCATCATCTGTGTTATTTTTCACACATACCCAGCTTGCCAGGTAATGAAGAGCTGATTGTGACTATTTAAAACTGAGTCTCAATCTCACAAAAGTAAAAAAGCTTTTCATTTTCATTGTGCTCTGGAGTTCACCAGAGTCCAGTGGACATTGTTTTTAATGGAGCTTATGCTAGACTCTCTACATAACTATGCAATATACCTTTTTAGAATGATTCCTTTACTTTTTCTCATTTACTGTTTTTGACAGTCATTTACATTTACTGTCACAACAATTTCAAAAGCAAAGAACATTTTCTTCATCTGGAGTGGGTCTGTCTTAGGATATCGTGTGCAGGGCAGAAGAGGATTCTTTCTAGTAGCAAAACACAAGCAAAAATACTGTCTTGTCCTTGTACTACTGGTTTTGGTTTGCTGGAGGAATCCCTCAAACTTCAAAATTTCCTGGCTTTTTTGATGTGTAGAAGCTGCAGAGCTGCCATGAAAGATGAATCACCCATAGCTATTTTAGAAATAGGCACTAGAGAGTGAATTCTTGGTAGTTTTTACTTGAAGTTGGTTACACTTGGGTTTGTGGAATAAAATCAACAGAGGGTTGTTGCCTCCTTATATGATCTTTTTATTCTGAAATACTGATTCCAAGGTTTTTGTACCAGCTTTTGGGGTTTTTTTTAATTACCAGCTTTAAAGCTTCCTTGCACACCTGAGTTTCTTGTTGCCTTGCAGGAGGACAATGACATCCTGGAGCCTGATCTGGACAAAGATGAGGTTTTGCTGCCTCAGCTGGGGGAGCTTTCAGGAGAGAAGCTGCTAACAACGGAGTACTTGGGAGTGAGTACCACTCCTTAGAATCTTAAAATAAATTAATTTCTTGAGTTAAGTGTTTCATTTCAGTAATTTCACCACTTTATTCAATTTGATGCTTGAAGAGGCAGGTGCTACTTGCAGAGCAGTGTGGATCTTTCACAGTCTGTGTATGAGCTGCTGCTCAGGAGAGGCAGAACCAGTGTGAGAAAGGAGCTACCCTTTCACAGGGGGTGGTCAGGCTGTGGCTTAATAATAAGCTACAGGCAGCCTTAGGGTTCTGGTGCTACACCAGTGACTCTGAGCACACAAAGCAAAGTACTGAGCAGGTTAATAACTGGAACATTCTGCTGGTCTGAAATTATTTTAGAAAAAAGAAAAGTTGAAAAGTCAACTGCTCCTGCAGGCGTTGTGCCGGATCAAGTATTGTCTGCCTTACTTCAAGCAGCAAAAAGCTATTAAGTAAAAAAACATAAAGTTTGTATGAATGCCATTTAGTGTGCTGTGACTAATTTGAGATATTCAGAGGGCTGGAGCACTTCTCCTGTGAAAGCAGGCTTAGGGAGCGGTGTTATTCAGCCTGGAGAAGAGAAGGCTTCAGGGAGAGTTTATTGTGGGCTTTCAGTCCTAAAAGGGTCTACAAGAAAGCTGGAGAGGAGCTTTTTCACAAGAACATGCAGTGATAGGACAAGGGAGAATGGCTTCGAACTGAAAGAGGGTAGGTTAGATTATATATAAGGAGAAAATTCTTCCCTGAGCAACCTGATGTAGTGAAAGGTGTCCCATGGCAGGGGGGTTGGAACTGGATGGTCTTTATGAACCTTTCCAACCCAACCCATTCTATTATAAATGTGCACCTTCTGGATCCAAGAGTCCAGAATCCTGGCAATGGAAAAGTGACCTGAGAGAAGATGTTATGAAAGAGCTTTCAGTGATTCAAGGAAGTTTTATGGTGCAGTGACACCAGAATGCAATTAAGTTTCTGCTGCAATGTTTCTATAGAATTTTCTCTATGGCTTCAAATACCATGTTTTTGTTTTTGCACTGCATTATTTTTTTTCTTCATTTCCTGTATATCAGATAATGACTCACACTCCAAAAACTAAGAAGAAGCAATTTGCTGGTGTCCATCAGAGTATAGATGAGCCACTCCAGAGACCTGTGACACCAGGTTATCACAGACCTGCATATCTAATGTAAGTCCAAACAAATGAGACCACGCTGGGTTTTTTAAGCTCTTTTAAAAAGCATAACAACAATGAAAAGAAGCCCATAACAATGCCTAATAGCTAAACCTTCTCTATCTAAAAGTGCGTTGCCATTGTCATTCATTGTGGATAATTTCAAAAAAAGGAGCAAAACATAGCAGGCAGGCAAAGGTCCACTGGCTGAGGTCACATTCTCAAAATAGTTCAATGAATATATACTGATGAGGTTGATTTAAGTTTACATTATATCCCACATGTTCTTGCATCTTCTGTAAAATATTCCATTGGAAAGTTGCACCAAACATCTACAATGCCCGGGATCTTCCACTTCACAAGCAAAAAAGTGTATTTGCTCTGAGCTGGTTTGTTAAAGGACAGATGAAAAAAAAAATGGATACAATGAAAATCTTGTTATGTTGTGTTTCCCTGCTTTAGAAGAAATACATTTTCCATCAGAAGTGTGTATGGCACTTTGCTCTTGGTGTGATTTGGGTCAGAGTAGAAGGGTTATTGTAAATGGAATAGAGGAGTCTTACCATGTAGAGCTCCTTGAGTATTCTCTGCTTTCTGTTAGAACAAGTATATCTTAATTTCTGAGATGAGATTTGTCCTGTTCACTGTCCTGACTGAGGAAGTAAAATGCAAATGAGATCCCAAATTTAAATCATTTTTCTACTTTCAGTTGCATGGTTTTGGATTTGATCAAGTCCAGGTAGCTATGATACAGGCATGTTTATTGTGAGGATTTAATGTTTTTATTTCTGTGGATACTTAATCTGAGACACTACAAGACTAACAAAATATGATGAGAGTACTCAAGACTCACAGGATTGGTATAGGTAAATATGTTAAAATGAGCGGGTAACCTGAAACACAACAATGTAATGAAATTACAGGTGGCTCTTCGAACACATCAGTCCTGAAGATTGTCCCATGTTGTCCCTCTGCCACTCTGCTTTTCTGTTCATATTTTCTATTTCCTAAAGTACTTTTCCTCCTCCTTTTAGTGTTGAAAATGGGTACAGAAGACAGTGAGGACTGATGTAGTTGCACAGGTGTAGGTGACTCTGAGTGAGGTCTGTTGTTTTGGACAAGGAGTGGTCACAGCTTTATCTTGCCTCCCACTGTGTCCTGGAATTAGCATTCCTACAAGCAGGTGACGTGACTGTCACCTGAGCCCTCCTGAGTCATCCAAACATACCTTTTTGACAGGTGTACCATTCTCATGGGATTATATGTTTTAGATTACAGAAACAGACAAGTGTAACATACCAGAACTGGGCATGGACAAAACCCCAGAAGACATTTATTTTTTTAGAAAGCAAGATGAAGGAAACACACACTTCCAAAGCAGAAGAATTTTTGGATATCCCATGGCAGAATTTGTCTTAAAATCTTAATTTTTATTCTGAGTGTTGGCCTGGATAAAAAGGCAGTTTTGAACATGGCTCTACTTTGTCTGCCTGGTATAGCCTAAATGTGGATTTGGAGTTCTGACTTTGGGTCCTTTCTTACAGTGGCCAACTTTTTGCACCATCACAACATCCCCAGTTTTTGCAAGACCTCTCCCCATATATATGAAATAGGTGTGTTTGTGTGTCAGAAGAAAGCAGCAATTAATTAATATGTTAGTAAAATAGTGATTACCTAATAATTTTCATGCAGTTCTTCAAAAGAACTGCAGGCCTTAAAAATCTAGACTGGTTAATCTATGCCTAAATATACATTGCCACTTTTCTGTGGGGTTAGTGTTAGAGTTCAAGGTCCCACTTCTCCACTTTTACCCATGGTGGGCTTGGAGACCTGGACTGATTCTCTGGAATTGGCTGTTAGGGCAGTGTTACAGTCCAGTCTTTAAAGTTACTAGAAATTCCTCTGCCCAAATTAATGTGCTACTGAGCCCATATGCCAAAGTCAATATTGTGCATTTTATTTGATAATAAATATAAGAGAGAGAGGGAGAAGAAGGAAGAGAAAGAAACAGAATGAGGTGGGAGTACAGAAAGAGAGTGGCAGATTAAAGAAAGTCTCACCACTCCATGGATCCCAAGGATGTTCTGTTGATCCTCTCCAGCTCTGGTCTTCTTGGTGCTGAGGGGGCCCCAAAAAGCTCGGAATGCAATGGATGAGGGCATGGCCAGGCCAGGTGGGAATGCCCTGGTACCTCCCCTGGGGGGACACTTTGACTCAGTCTCTTGCTGCAGGCTCTGTGGCTGTTGCATCACTTTGCCTCATGTGCAGTCCTGTGGTGCAAGGCCTTAGGAATGAGTCTGAGGAATGCTTTGGGGGTCTTGGATGGATTATGACATCCCCTCAGCTGCCTCCCACATCAGTGTCCCGTGGATGTGGCCTGTGGGGTTTTACAGTCTGTGTAAGGGAGGATGGGTGTTCAGTGCCTCTGACCAGAGGCTACACCCAAAACCACCATCCCCCCTCATTTCAGGGGAGTCTGTGTAAGCCTGGCCTCTGTGGGCTGTGGTCTCCCTCACCCCAAACCCAGCCAGGGATGATTCTCTGCTGCATTTGGCTTTCTTGTGAATGCATTCCTTGCTCTCAGCCTTGTTTGCTTCTCCCTAGATCTGAGATGATTGAACATCTCTTTATCTTATCTAGGTGGCTTAACTCACAGTTCAAAGTTCCAGCCAGGCATCTTCAAGGAGGGGGGGGGCTTCTGTGGTTGTAGCTTCTTGAAACTGTTTTTGCTATAGGACAAAACTCCTTCCTCACAATGTTTAAGGCCGGAACCATTTCAGTCCCTGACTGGCAGCCTTTCAGCCTATTTAGAAAGTATATTTTCAGGAATAAATCATCATTATCACCGGAGTGTCTAAGCTTTACATTCTTGCTTTGTAAGTGGAGATAAAACCAAGCGTGTGAAAATGAACACAAAAAAGTTGTGTCAAACCCATGGGAGTGCCTTTTATTTCCCTATGTCGTGTACTGCACTGCATTTTTTGCATCAGAAATAATCTCTGGAAGTGATTGTTGCCTCTCTTTAGCACCATCTACCCAGGCAGGGTGTTTACCTAAATGTCCCAGGATCCTGGAGTGACTTGAGTCTTGGATTTGGCACAACTTGAATCCTCTCAGTTGTGCAGCTTGTGCCTCTGCAAGATGGCTGCAGGTCACTGCTGGATACAAATTAAAACCACATTTCTATCATGCTGGTTCTGGTAGCTCTTGGTCTAAGAGAGGTGTTAGTTTGATGGTGTGAAGCAGCCTTTACAGATTGCCTCACTATGCAGACTACAGAGGAGAAATATAAACAGCAGAAATCCAACACTGTGAAAATACGTGAAAATTAATTTCCCTCCTGCTCTGCCCAAATGGTGAAAATACTATGAGTGTTTGATGCTTCTATGTTTTAAACAGGAAACAAGCAGTACCACCCTGAATGAGAAGTTTGTCCTTTGTACCTAACTAATTTGTGTGCAGGAAACTGCAGTGAGTAGATGAAGACATCCTCAAACTACATTTTGCAGCAAAAAAGGACAAGCTTTGATGGTTTTTATGCTGTTCTAATTTTAGTACAAATTAATTTACCAAAATAAGGAAATACTCACTTGGAAATTATTGCAGGAGGAAGACAATAAAAACTTAGCTGCCTTAATTTGAAAGCAATATCTGAACTGGATGTATTTTGTAGTTTAAATAATTTAAGTGGCTTGTATCATGTGAAATCTCATGAAAAATGTTAGACACTTTTGCCCTGGACACAGCTTGTCTACCAGATACAATTCAGGACAGTTCATCTGAATTATCTGGAGTCTTGTATTCAGCACAGTGGTTAAACTGCATTAAAAATTTTTGTAAATACTGCCATTCAAAATTGAAGTGAATATAACTTCTTTGAAGTTCTTCATGTGAGACTCAATGTAATATATTCCATTTAAAAACATCATGAAAGAGGAAGCAGTTGAGGAGATACTATAACGTGTCTCTTTGAGTTGTTGGTTCATACCTCCAAAAGGGAGGGGGATGAAGATCTTTAGTGCTGAATAGAAGTATTCACACAGAAAATTAATGCAGAATAGCCACTGCACATGAAGCAACCATTTCATGCTAATTTTTCTATGACTTCCCAGTGCAGACAAGGCTCTAGTTACTTCAGATGAATTGTCATGGGATCCCTGTATGGACAAGCTCTTGCTGTATGGAGCTGAGGGAGTCAGGAAATACTGGAAAGCTGCCTTCTTTTTCTTTTTTTCATTTTTCCCTCCTTCTTTAGCTGGCTGACATCACTCAAGGGGGCCTGAACTACTTAATATTCTGCTAGCTATTTCCTTAGAAACTGATTTAGCTGTGAAATCATTAACTGCCTCCTTGGACTGCATCCTTTTTACTAGAAATGTGGTTTAGTTACCTTAACCTGGGCAGGGAAACTTTCCATGTCTGCCAACTTCTTTCTTCTTTTCACACACTTTTCACACCCTTTCACTTGTGCTGTGTTTTATGGCTTACTAGTAAGCAATTGTGTCCCTGTTCTGTCCTTCAGCTGCTTCAGTTTCCCACTGATCCACTTCACTTGTGAAATCAAGAGTTCTGTTTGTTGCCTACTTTAAGTCAGTGTTGCATATTGCTCTTTAAAGTGAAATCCTTGGAACATTCAGAAGCAAATCTTAAATCTTTGAAAAAGCTAAGTATTGAAGATCTTTCAGGCCCATTTTACAGTCTTTTTCTGTAAGTGTCATGATGGTATTTTGGGTCTTCAGACTGCAGGGAGTTATGGTTTCCTTTCCTCAGCTCTTTTATTGCAGTAGGAAAAAATGTTAATTTCAGATATGTTTGATGTCAGCTGGTTTGAGGGAGCTACAGTCAAACAGTTTAATTACATCCTTAATACTGGTTTGCAATATGAAATTTAAAATAACTTCAATGTGTACTATGTCATTACAGGCAATTAGAAGAAATTAGAATTTACTCTGAGTAAACTTTTTATATTGTACTTTTTATTTCACCTTGCATTCTCCTTTCTCCTCCAGGCCAGAAAATGGTTCCAGTTCCTGTCACGACAGGGATGAGAAGCTGCAGTCTCCAGCAAGTGGTGCCTCTTCCACTTGTGGTGGGAGACAGTCCAGCATTTCTGACTTCTGCATTTCCCCCTCATGTAAGGATGGCCTGTGGGTGCTGTTCTTAATTGCTGACGTCTTCCTTGACTGGGGCAGGTGTGGGGGGCCTGGACTGTGTGTTATAGATTGGGGATTCTCTTAGTGTAGTGTGGAAGTGGCACTCTTTTATAGAGCCTGGGTCAGTCTGCAGGGCCTTGGGGCACCCAGCAGGCTCCAGCTCCGGCTGAAGAATGGCCACAGAAGGGAACGTGTGGCCAGCAAACACCAATGGTGTCACTTACCTCACTCTATCTTGCTTCCTGTGAGAGTTCCAAGGATCAGACCCAGGGCTTCCGCTGTGTGAAGGATTCTCTGCAGTGTCCCCTGCCCAGGGAAGGAGCTGCAGCCAGAGGCAGTGCACTTCCCACCAGGCAAAGGCCCTGGCTTGATCAAATATCCCTTGTTTGGATCTAAATGAATCACTGTCTGCTGGCACCTGCGGGCTCTGTTGGCTGGATCTCAGTGTTAGAGCTGAAGGCAGCTGCAGTTATCTGCTGAGATTTGCAACTGCATTCAGACCATCCAGGGCTGTGGAGGATGGGCAGCCTGGTGCTGTGTGGCTGCATTGTGGGTGATGCTGCTAAAGATTCTGCCCTTGCAGCTTCAGCTGAAATGAATGCAAACTCAGCTGGGCCTGAGAGCTCAGAAACATGTGATGGAATTTAAAAGGTTATAGCCTTCTGAAATACTCAATAGCTGAACTTCTGATATCCACGAGATCCTGCACCTTTGGATGCTGGAATTTCAACCTTCCTGCAGGGATTCATTAACATTTGCAATTACAGATCTAAGGCAATTTGCTCAGCAGTCATAGATAAAGGATCTTGCAGCATATCCGGGACAGAATTATTAATAAGTTCAGGCAAAGTGTGCCTTTTCTTTTCTGAAAAATATGCTTTGAAGCAGTAAAGGAATAGCATACTTTTTACTTTCTCTTCTATTTTTTTAAATTTCCTAAAGGAAATGAAAAGGATTCTGAGAAAAGTAACCAAGGTCTTGCAGACAGGAATTCACTTGCGTAATGCCCAGAGCTGATAAATGTAACATGCTGAAGGAGAGGAGGACAGGAGCAGGAGAAGCTCCTGTCCATGATGGGCACTTGGGTTCTTGCTGTTGTGCAGCAACGGGAGCTGCTGTTCTCAGCCTCACTGTGCACAGTAACACCTTGAGTACAGCTCAGGGGGTTTGGCTGCCCTTGGTCAGCAACTCACACCAGCAAAGGCTGTAAACCAAGTAAAAGCATACTGACTTGGCAGTGCTCCTGCAGAGAAGGAAAAAAAGAACATACCTGTGCTTTGTAAAGGAAATTAAGCCAAGTAGTTATCAAGGGTGCTCCTATTTGGTGTTTTAAAGTGTAACTGGATGCAGTTCCTAAGGCATTTTGCAGCCATCCAGAGCCCAAGTGAACAGATTTTGATCTCTTTCCAGTGAGATGGATGCACTCACCTCTGGCACTTTTGCTGTGCTACTGATGCTGTCTGATAGTTTGTTTTGTAGAGATTTGTGAAGAGGTTTAAACAGGCAGCCTGAGTCAGTCAGCAAAGCAAATGTTGTTAGTTTTTGATTAATATTGATTTAAAGTGTTCATGATGAAGATATTTCTGCCAGCTTAAATGTTTAATTTTGTCAGAACTTTGCTTGTAGCCTCTGTTTAAAACATTCTGTTAGCTGCTTTCAGTCAAAATTATATGCAGGTGGCTACTAATAAGACTACTAGATTATATTATTTTCCTGTAGAAAAATCTTTGAGGTCAGAATATACAACATCTTGCTGGTTTTTATATGCATTATACATGTAAAAACACAAATAATTTTTGTCTGTGACAGAGGAAATTTTTCCTAGCATTAATCCAGGCTATAAAATAACACTGAGCTACTTGAAAGATGGCCTGAGGTTTGTTTTGGGTTTTTCCAAGTAGCAGTGACATATGTGCTTGTCTTTCTTATCTTTTGAGATTTAGAAATGAGATGAAAGAAAAAAAGAAAAGAGAGACTGCACTGCTGGAGCCCCTGGTTGTTATGTCAGTGACAGGACTTAATTCTGCAGGATGATAATTGAGCTGGGTCTTTGAACATCTCCACATTTCCAAAAGGCATTGGGGATTGTAATATTTAAATTAAAAAGGCTTTAATTTAAGACAATGGAAAATAAGCCCTTTCTCTTCTGTTGCCTTCTAAGATACAGTAGGGAACAGAAATGTGTAAAAATAATGGTACTGCTTCTAGAGGCTTTCATGATGCTCTGCCAAACATCTCTGCTGTGCAATAAATACGCTGTTTATTGACTTCTGATCTTGGTCTGATGGTCATTCTGCAGTACCAGGAGCCTGCTTATTTCAGAATATTTGTTTCCCAGCATCTCATGAGTACCTTGGGACTCAGAGTTTCATGCAGCCAAGTCATGAAATGAATAGTAAGAGACAAAGAGTGAAAAAAACAGAATAAAGCTTCATGTGAACAATTAGCCTCCTCAAGGGGCTATCTCAGGGAGGCAAAGTTTAGCCTCAAGGAACCTTGATCCTCTTTTGTTTACCAAAAATGAGCATCGTTCTTTAATGTCCTCCTGGAAGTATTTGGTTGTTCTTGAATTGGTCTGATTTTGTCTGGGTCCATCCTCTCCCCCTTTATCCTTTGTTAAAGAATCAATAATTCTTGCACTCTTTTATTTTTTGTCTCCTATGGGCAGAAAACTTGTGGACCAAAGATGAGCCCTGGTCATCTTCCTACACTTGCTATGCTGAATGCTAGACAGAACATGTGCTGGGCAGCAAAATGCCTGTCTGAGAGTGACCTGATCTGCATTCTTATCAGCATGAGAGAGCAAACCAGGACAGCAGCCTGTCCTGAGCATGGCAGGAATGGAGCTAGGGATTTTCCCTAAACTTTCATTGAACTTGCACATCTTGGTAGCCTTGTGGTTCTAAGCAAATTGAGTGTCCTTCACTTCCCCATTAGTGTAAGGCAGAAATTGAGTCTGACAGAAGTGTAAAACACTTCTTTTTGTCTGCAGTGGCCCTGTTACTGTGGATATGTACAGACAACTGCAAGGGGTTGTGTTCCTGTGGCTTTAATGGGGTATTGGATGTAGCTGATGTGTGTTAACTGCAGGTCTGCATGCTCCTATCCCATTGCAAGTGCACAGTGTGGCCAGTTTTATTTTCCAACTGCAGAGGGCTTAAATTGCCACCTGAGCTGTTTTGCTCAGGTGATGAGCCCTAATAAACTCTGCTACACAAACTCAGTAGCCTGCCAAAACCTCAAGGTTTCCTTCACACAGCAGGAGTAGTGACTTGATTGTATTTCTAATAAAACTGTAAGGAGACAGCTCCTCACTGAACTGTGTTTCTTTTTTAAGCAGCAATTGAAATGAAGTCATCAGGCCATAGAATGGACCAATGCATCCCAGCTGGTGATGCCTTGTCTTCTCAATCTGCTGGCTTCACTGAGGACAAAGTAAATGGTCCATCACACAGGTATGATCTATCCAGAGAATACCTAAAATTGTAAGAGGAGTCTGACAGGGTTTACCAGCTAATTCCATGCTGCTGTAAAGACAATCTGTGAAGTTACTTGATGTGTGATGTAGTCTGGCCTGAGACAGCTGTGGTGGTGCTTGCCAGACAAAATACCCTTTGCTGTGCCAGAGGCAGCTGCTCAATTTCTAAGCATCTGGTTCAGAATGAGAGAAGTCTCAAGCAAGACATTATTAATGAACTTCACATGTATGCTCAATGCAGCCTTCTGAAAATAAAACTTCCTGATTGCTTCCTTATATGACTCAACAGTAGTCCATGAAAATCATTTATTAGTAAAGAAATAGGGAGGACTGTGGGGACAGGACAGGAATTAACATGCAGAAGGAAGAAAAATGAAGCATTTAAGTGGGTTAAGAGTGCTTAAACATGCTGAGTTGCTAGCACTGCTGACCAGAGTGCTTCATTTATCCACTAGATGGGTATAGCAAAGGAGGCAAAGTTATGAGGTCACCCAGCAATGGGTTTCAACTCTTCCTTGAAATCATTCCTGTAAAATGAAAGGTCTCTCCTTATCCTGCTTATCCTGTTCACCTAAGGCCCTCTGTGAAGCCTTTGTCACGTGTACAGCTGTGATGTTATATCTTGGATGAGAACAAGGAATTAATTAGCAATTGGACTAAAGTCTACCAAAGTTTTCAGAGCCTGCATTTGTCCTTCAGACATTAACAGCTTTTTCCTAGAGCTAATTAGATTGGGCCAAGTTTTAAACAGTGTAGACAAATTTTAAAAGCAAATATGTTCCAGAACTAAAACACAGAATGGGTGGAGATGTGTTAAAGGAAGGCTTTTACAGCTCTTTATGCATCTGATTTTTCAGAAGTGCTTGGTTATTTGTGTCAATTACAGCTCTAGCACTTCAGAAAGATTCTGTGTCTAGAACTTTGTTTCCTTCATGCCTGCAGATGCCAGTCTGTGGTTTGGGGGTTTTGGGGGGACTGGTGGGGCTCTGGTTGTTTGGTTGGGCTTTTTCCCCAGTTGTACTGTTTCCATGGGGAGATCTGAGCAATTATACATTGTCAACAAACTGATACTGTTTTCAGCTGAAGTGATTAGGAGTCATACCTCTGGGCCAGCATTGCTTTTTTTTTTTTTCTGTTGTCTCTTGTAACAGTAGCTAAGCACATAATAGAAGTACAAATAGACCATGCAAATTTATGACCAAATTGTTTGCTTTGTGGTGGAGATAGGGATATTCTTTTTCAGGCTTTGTTTCCAAGAAGCAATAAAATTGGCAGCATCTTGTCCCCCACCTTAGTGAGATGCTTTGCTTCTCTACATAACCTGTTATTTAAAAGGTGTGTTCCCAGTAATTTTTAATATTTGTTCACAATCATATGTATAAATCTCAGGAGGGAATTTATAGGAGTGAAGGCACAGGTGCAGTGTCCTGCAGAGGAAGATCATATCTTTTCACCCTGTGTTTCCTCAGCATGCATGCAGTAATTTGGATTTCCAAACACAGCCTTGAGTTACAGATACAGGAATGCAGCCATTCTCAGTTGAAGAGAGCCCAGGGTTTTCTGTGTCAAGGGTCTTTTGTTAATATGTTGGTGTTGCAATACCTGCAACTAGACCTGCCTTTTCATTCTTTCACTCCTGGACGCAGACTATAATTTGTTTGCAAAACAAATAGGACTAATAAATCACTTCTTTGCTCATAGTTTTGTCCACTGTAAGAATTGCCTCCTTCCTGGAGGCAAATACCTGTTTGGCAAATACCAAGACCTTCCTAGAAGAGGTATGTATGAGAAAAGGAGGGCTGAGTTGGGCTCTGGAAGTGGTCACTTCTCTTTCCCCTCTTCCTTAGCAGTGTAAATTGGGAACTTAACTGCACAGAGTTGAGTGAAAGGATGCAAAATCAATTGGAGAGAAGAATGAGATCTTAGTAGTGACATTTCTGCTGCAGTTGTTTTACTTCCACAGGAACAAATGATTGTTCCAACTGATGCAGGTCAGACTGAGTTAAATGACAAAATAAGCAATAACAATGACACTCCTCTATGGAGCTAAAGATGTTTAAATATCTCCGCGGTCCACGCCTTGAGGTTTTATCCTGGCAGTCTTATTTTTTGGTTGTTTTACCAATCTGTTTCTGCTGCCATCTGCCACCTCCTCCTTTGAAGCTGAGACAGGTATTAACACTTGTAATAGTCATAGGCAGAGGGCTGCAGAGATGGTTCTCAGCAGAGCAGTTAGCACTTCTCTGCCCCCAACAGCAGCATATACATATGCGAAATACAGACAATGATGCTATTTAAAATACAAAAGGAACACTTGCTCAAATCTCCCTGCAAGGTGAAGCAGGGCTATGGAAGGGCTAATCAGTACTGACTCAGCAGCATTCCCAGGGGAGGAGGGGAGATCAAATATCTTGAAAATCCCCCTAATCACCCCTTCTGATGGTCACAAAGGGTTCTTTTGATGGAGCTAATAACACGGGGACTTTCTTTTTGAATCGCCGATTTTTAGAGGGCACCTTTCGATGTCCTGCCTTTGGCTCTTTTATTTCCCTTTTTAAACGTGATGAAGTTTTCATGTAGCAGTTACTTGGGTTTAACCTTTTCTCCTCTTAAGAGAAAATCGACTCACTAGTGCAAACATTAATTTAGATTCAGAATTATTTTAGAGACTTGCTATTTCCTGGTAGCCTCCATTATTTTAACTGTGAAAAGCTATATTTATGCTGGGGGCAAGGAAGGGCAGTGTATCCTCAAACAGTTATTGACAAAATTTTAAAGAATGGTATTTTTTTGCAGACTGTGAAATAGCAGCACCTGCTTTATGTTCTCAGTGTCAGCAAGGAACCTGTGTTTTTAAGGAATTTATTTTAGAGACGCCATCACAGCTTTTTGCTCTCTTGACAAAGCCTTCAGGGCGTTCTACAAATCTTATCTCAGACAGGAGCCAGGGAGGCTGCCTATGTCTGCCAAGACTGACCTGTACCTGGAAGAAATCCTGGTGTCTGTGCCCTAAAAGGATGTGTTCCTGTGCTGTAGCATATCTGTGTATTTTTTGCACCCCAGAACGAGTCACTGGTGTGATAAACACAACAGAAAACAAGCTAAAGCTCAGTTCCTGGTTTGCAGGGAATTTGAGTGCCCGTGTTCACTCCTGTTGTGCAGAGTGAGGTTTGGGCAGGATGGAGAGGTCAAGAGCCAGGCTGGAGGCTGTGCAGTGAGCACACGGCCCAGGCAGTGCCTGTGGTGCCATGTTCCTTTCCATTTTGCAGCCTCCCTGAGCTTTGAGCACCTGCCAGGCTGTCCCAGCACGCACTGCAGGTTTCACTTGGTTGCAGCCTCACTATGCAGATGTGTTTCTCCATGCATTGCTGACCCTTTCCCTCTCCTCCTCCAGTGACTTTGCCCTGGCTTTCACCAGCAAACCCAAGATCCCGCGCACTCCTGACGGGCAGAGCAGCAGCCCCAGGAAGGGAAAGGTCCCAGCCATTGCCCCCCAGTTCTCTCAGTCTGGACCCCAACAAGCAAGCCATCCAAGCTCCTCAGGATCTTCAAGGAGTAGACAGAGTAAGTGGAAAATGCCATCATTCTGTTTGTCATTCCTTGGGTGAGAAAGGAGGGAGCGTTGTAGAAACTCTTCAGGAAAGAAGTGGTAGGCTACAAATGTGCCAGGAGTATATGACATTGTGCTTGTCATCTGCAGGATGTACAACCATGTAATTATATCCTGCTGAACACTGCTCCTATTTCCAGGCTGTCATGTGAGCAGTTAAAAGACATGCTTTTTCCTGTCTCTGGGTGGAAAAAAGTGACTCAAATTCTCAGAAGTTTTTGGGGAAGCTTATGAGTTTCAGATTAGACCTTCTCTAGATGTCATCAGATTTTTCCTTTACTTTAGACACTTGTTCATCCCACTGAATGGACCTGCATCTGTCATTGCTCTGCCTATGGGCACCCTCCAGGTGCAGTTCTATGGCAAGTTTTACTATTGGCACAGTTGAGCAGATATTTTCTGTGGCAGTAACACCTAGAGATCAATCAGTGCAGTAGAAGTGCCCTTTCATTTGCAAGAGTGAAATTTCCAGATATGAGTCAGGACATTTTAAGGTGGCAATCACAAGTAGGCCACATTTTCCCTCTAAGTCACATTGGTGTGACACTTGTGACTTTAACCAGCTAACACAGATCATCAAGTGCAATGTTCCAAACTTATTTCAGGGTACCCAGGCAGGAATTGTAACAGAACCTGCTTCAAGGCTTGAACCAATTCATAGAAGTATTTCAAGTTTCTTCCTGTAGAGATAGAAGGAATGGTGGCATAACACTGTCTAAATCTTTAAATTAATGCTGATGTGGATGTGAACAAGAGGCACGAGCAAATACAGTAATAAGATGAGAAGCTGGTTAGTAGCAGCTGAACTTCAAGACTGTGATAAAAAATTTCTCATTTAAGAAATCTAGAATTTTTTTCTTCAGGTTTTTTGTGTCTTCTGGATTTGTAGACTGGTCATTAAATCTCACAAAGCCCTATTCCAAGCTTTTTCCTTGGGACCATCCCTCACCCTAGGCTGCTTTACCGGGTTAGGGTTAGGGTTAGGGTGTAACTTGAAGTCGGATCCCTGGGTGTGTCTGCAGTGCAGCTGGATGTAGAGCAGATGTCAGGCAGCCCAGGAGATGGCTCAGGGCAGCTTGGTAAGCAGGGTAAGCACAATGTGCTGCTTCTGGCAGTCTCCTTTCTGCTGGAGACTGGTACTCCACAGCCATGTGGCCATGCTGTGGCCTGCAGAAGTTTATAAGAACTTCATCTGTGGGGGGTTCAGAAGAGAGGGTGGCTTTGACGTGAGGACGGAGGAAAATGATGGATTCTTGCTTTGAGCCAGGCAGCACAAGCTCAGTAGAGAGGAAAAATGGATCTTGGATGCTCACACATCAGTAAACACGTGTGGAGTGTCAGTTGTGGTGTTTTTTGGGGTGGAGGGGGAAGAAAGTTGCATTCTTCAGTAATGAGCAAACTTTTTCTCAGGTGTGTGGATAGGAAAAGCTGGATTCTAATACAACTCTGTGTCCATCATCAGTGAAAATGGCAGGAGCATGGCATCATAACAAGTTTAGTGATGATTATTTGATCACAATGCAACATTAGCTCTATTCTTTAGCTGTAACTGTTACCTTGAAACATTTGACAAAACCATAGTAAGTCAATACCTTCCCAAGATACTCGAAATGTGTGTATATCATTAGCTACTCATTACAGATAGAGAAAATGAAATGAAGAGAGTTTAAATAACCCAGTAAACCAGTAACAGAGCTGGAAAGAGCATGCTGAGCCTTCTGTGTTGCTCATTCATTGTTCCACACAGTTGCACATGCAGAGAAGTGGTGTGGTTTCGTTCAGGGAGTACAGGTGAGGCATTGGAAGGGAATGTTCTCGGTGGCGAAAGGAGGTTTTGACCTGGAGGCTCCTTGCTTCAACACTCCTGTGCTGAGGTAATGCAGCTGTTTCAGCTTTACCTTTGCTGCATGTGCCCTGGCTTTTACCTCTGACACAAGTGCTCTCTGTTTCCTGTGACAGCAGCCCTGACTGGAATTGGTGTTAACACCCAGGAGTCTGTCCCTGGTTCCTGTTTCGGTTCATTTCCAAAAGCATTGGCCCATGGAAAAGAAGCCCTAGTGAGGGCAGGAAAAGTACAGAGTGTGTGTGTGTGTGTGTGTGTGTGTGTGTGCGCGCGTGCACAAAAAAATCTTCTGCATGTTCTGGTTTCTCAGGGCAGCTTTGCACACCTGGGAGAGTGTCCTAGGAAAGATGTGACAGACCAGTGTTGCTTTCAGGAGGCTCTGGAGCAAGATCCTTTTCCAGGGGCACAGTGTTAAATATATCTTATTTTTAAATTGCTCTAAAGTAGATCACTTGGGGTCCTCTGTGGATTCAGTATATGTGATCTGTTAGTTCAGATACTTGAGCTCTTCTAACTTTTATTGTTTTATTTGTTTTACACTATACCTCTTTGCAGGGAATGTATGCTGAATGTATAGCAAGCATTCCAACTTGCTATGGTCCATTTACCATTTCTCCCAGTTTTTTGCTGGGGAATCCAGGCTATCATTTTCTATCTGTCCACATGTGGCATGAGACAGTGTCAACAATTAAATGATAAGCTCTTCCTGCTAAAAATAGCAAATACATTATTTTGCAAACAACTTAATCTTCCACTCCTTCTGTGTACATGTGTCCAGCCTTCTTGTCACAGAGCACCAATTAGTTCTTGTCCTTCCTGCAGGAACTTTCTCATAGGTGGGAAGAGTTACATGAAGGTTGTAAGGACCAGATTTTTTAAGGACTAAAAAGGGTTTTAAGCACTCACACTGAAACTTGAGTTTCTCAAAGGTAATTCTCAGCTGTTACTTAGAGATGCATGGAAGAGATCTGAAGCAAGTGAGCCCCTAATGTTTCCCCAGTAAAGCTCTGTGCTTACTGCTCCTTTAATTTCCTAGCTGACTCATCTGTAGGTCAAAAATGGTATCAGATGCACAGATATCAGAAATCAGTAGATTCCAGCAGTTGCTGCCTCCCATTTGCCTGCTGCATAGGTATGTAGGATTTTACATCTAAAGAGACTCTGTTCCAGTGGAAGACTAATTTGTGGATTTCTTAGTATTTCTGAAGAAATGCAAGTTTTTATAGCTGATGGACATGATGAGAAAAAGATGACTTTCTGTTTTTACTTGCTGCATTCACTTATTTTAGAGGCACATTTTTAGCTTGATTTTAGTGTTTATTACAGGTGTATTTTCTGGAAACAAGTTGATTTTATGTAAACCTACCTGAACCAGCTGACCGCTCCTCTTGGAGCATGGAGTGTGTGGAATGCCTGAGGAATGCAGAGGAAGCCCAGGTACTCAGTGCAGCTACAGGCCTGGGGCCAGATTCCTGCCTGAGATGCAGCCCCTGCTGTTAGCTGAACTCTAGAGCAAAAGCAAGCTCTTCATATAATGAATATGAAATAAAATAAATATGAAATAAAATCAGCTATGCTGGGATCCTCTGTGATTTCCACTTCCAGGATGGTACAGGGATGACACTGGCAGCATGGCTGGAAAATAGAGTTCCACAGGGAGCACAGGCACCTCCAAATGTAGACCTTTTCAACTGTGTTCCATGTGGACATGGTTGTGTGGTTTAATCCACTCTGATCCTTATTCTCTGTCTGTTCCAGGCAGCTCAGCATGGGTGTGCTGAAGCTGTTTGCAGTGTACCAAGGCACATTGCAGCTAGGGCAGTACAAAAATCTCTACCAGAAGAATGGGGAATGTTTTTTGTTAGGAGTGTAACTGGGCCCCGGTGATGCCCTTTCAGTTCTTTCAATATCCCCTGAAAAGGGGCTGCCATAAATACATTCTGCAGTTCTGAGTTGCAGCATCAGGAGTTAAAGGAGTTAAAGTGCCTCTCTGCATGTTTTTTGTGATGTTTGTGTGCCTGTACAAGTTGAACAAGCATTGCCCTCAGGCAGCTTCTGTCTTGTAAATAAATCCTGCTCTCAGCTGACAGACCCTTTCTGGATGTTTTTCTGCAGGCAGCCAGTCCTACAGGAAGTGAGAACAGTTCCTTTCCTCGAGAATCACCTGTCACATTGCTGAAGGACAGAGCCAGCTTCCTGTAATGAGCTTCACTGGTGACCTGCACAGGAGAGTGAGGCTGTTGGCACTGCAGGGACTGGGGATTATCTGATGGGATGTGTCTGTGGCCTCTAAAACTGCCTAAGACAAGGGCCTTGTTATTAGAATTTGAGTCTCAGCAGCAGCCCAGAACTGACAGAGGACATGGATATTTTCTGATTGTTTGCTCTAAAGTGACATTGCCACCTTGAGAAGGAACTCTTGCTCTCTGCCTTCTGTGTCAGTGTAAATGTCTTTGGAAACAGAATGTAGGCTCAGCCCAGGATTCTTACCAAGAAACTGTATTTTTTACTTATTGCTTGCTGAAGCAGCCTGCCAATTGCTTTTTTAAAATTTTGCCTGTGTGACTGGGCTGGGAGGTGTCTGTGTCCAAAGGATCTGTGTGAAGAGGGACAGTGTCTGCCACATGTGCAGAGCCTTGCAGCCCAGAGCACTCCTGTGTGGGGTGAGATCTTCCTGGCCCTGAAGAGGAGGTATTTTATCAGCTTCTGGTTGACCTGTAGCAGATGAAAAACACTGTTACAGTGCCCAAGGCACCATCCATGCTCACCTCTGAGCTCTTTATCTGCAGCAATTACTCCTATTACTTCTTTCTGCTTTTTTTTTTGTTAATTCTACTGTTTAACATCTGTGGAATGAAAAATCTCTTTTTTTTCCCCTGGAATGAAGAGCTTTGCTTCTTCATTCATAGAAGAAACCATGAGAATGTGAACAGATCAGAAGCAATTTTCTCTTTACATGTAACTGTGCTCCATCATCTTTGGTGTTTGTTGGCTTTTTTATGTTCCTCACTTCAGAGCAATGACTGTTTATGTCTTTATGGAATTCGTGCTGGTCTTTGGTGCATGTGAAGTGCTGGCTAGACAAGAGATATCAGGAATCCTTCCACTAAATAAAAAGCAGCAGTTAGTTCTGCCAGTGAATTACAAGGCCAGTGCTGTTTGTTGTTCTTTCTCTCAACAGTAACAGTGACCAGGAAACACTGAAGTCTTCACTGGGGGGTGGCTTTTGAGTAACACCCCTTCATGTCACAGCTGCTAGGACACATAAATGCAGTTTACACTGGGACTTGGCTCCTGCTGAGGCAGAGATGTGCAAAAGCTGACAGTGTATTTGCCATAGTCACACTTCAGAAACAAATGTTTGAATGAGTATGAAAAAGGGGAAGGTGAGGCTTTGGTTTTGGAGAGCAAACAGGTGGAACACAGCCTGAAAGGTAAAGCAACTCCTGTAGTGACAGTGCCTTCCCCTAAAGTAAAGAGTTGTAAAGCCATTTCTGTAGAGCCAGAAGAAAGCTTTGTGCTTCTGACAAGACATTGAATTGGGCCTCTTGCTCTGTGGTGGCAACTGGAGAGCCAAGGCCACTGATGTCATTGCTTCAGACCCACTGAGATCAGTGAGCTGTGTCAAATGTTTGCAGAAAGTTGTGTTTCCCACACACAGGTTCAGGAAACCCCTTTGGATAGACATTAAATCAGAATGGGAGTGTTTTGTAGGAGAAGACCTCCTGTAGGTTAAAATCCAGTCAATTCATGTGGAAGTTACCATTTACTACTCAGTAACACCAAGCAGGCAGAGTATGGATGTTACTTTAGCTCCCAGACTACTCAGGACATGCAGTGACTCCAGACACTTGCTAGCCTCTGTCACACAGGTCCCCCTGCCAGACAAAGGAGTCACAGAAAATCTCTGACTCTGCTTAGAGTCATCTGCCTCCTCTCTGAGCTGATAAACACAACTAATGGGAAAATGTCCTCTGGTTCACAAAAAGGCAGTAATGGAAAACAGCCATAAAAGTTCACCTCTGGCTTTCCAGGGTAGGCAGAATTTCCTCTGAAATTGTTTTTCTTCCAGCACTGTAGCATCAACAGCCAAGTTGTGAATGAAGTGCTGGGCAGTTCATTTGCATACACGAATAACAGAATGCTCCAGCAGCTGAGTTTTATTTACCTTTTATTTACAGCAGGGCTGAGTTTCATGTTGGATCTGTGCTATGTTCATGATAGATCTCATTGTGTAAGATGGAGAGCAGCTTTTGAAAAGTGTTGAGAGCAGACTAGTTTTTTTGGGGCGGTGGGGAACAACAACCCCAAAACCTCACTGATTTTATGAGTTGAGGTAAAACTTCACCACCCCTTGCCAGACACCCCAAGGTGGTTGGTAGGTGTGGCAGCTGCTCCAGCAGATCAAGATTCATGAAAACCAAAATGCACCTTGCTGAGTTGGACTGAAAGGAACCAACTGAAGTGTGTGTGCTTGAGTGTTTCTTGCTCAGGCCTGCTGCATTGCAGAACTCTATATTTCCCCATGTTCTCTTAGCTGTGAGAGTATGGAGCTTGAAATCCAAGATTATTTTTATATTAATGCATGAGAATCCTGATTTTCCAAATACTGAGAAAAACTATGGATGTGCTTAGAAATAAGTTATCAGCTGAAGAGTAATTTGAGAAGCTGAGGAAGTAACATGTCCTCCTTTCCTCTGTCTTCACAAAAAAGCCCCTGTGATGGCAGTCAGGAGATTTGAAGCTAATAAAAAATGTCAATTCTGCCTTTGTTCATAGAACTGCACTCTTTGGGGTGAGAAGGTCCCTGAATGGAGGTCAGTAGCACACACATAGCAAATTCAGCACCTCACTCTGAAAAGTTGCTGGGTGTCTTTTGTATGTGCCATGAAGAGGTAGCTGCAAGATTCAACACCTTCCTGGGAAATTCATAACAGGAGCAGTGGAAATTGCTGCCCCTGTGGGAGGGGTGTGATTGCACTCAGAGTGGCTGTAATTTCTTTCACAAAGAGCAAATAAAATTATTGCAAACGACACACGGATCTGCAAGGAAAGTTTTTCCGGGACCAAAGTCCCAAGTGATGCTACCATGTCTTTTGGATGTAATTGCTGTATATTCACTGTCATTTTCTTTATGCAGAGTGTTATTTGAGTCTCTGTAAGGCTGAAGTTTGCACAGAGGGCCCATTCTGTACTATCTTTCCATGATTAAATAAAAATGCTCCTAAAGGGTTTTTTTTGTTTCTTCTTTCTCTTTCTGATATATTTGGTTTGGGCGTCATGCAACTTTTTTGTATGAATTTCTTTACATTTCATTCTGGTTTATTATTGATAAATTCTGTCCCCAGCAGTTTTTATCTCCATCTGAGTGGGAAACTCGGCTCCCTTCAGTTCAGCCTGGCCTGCCTCTGCACAGGTAATGGTGTTTACTCAGAAGTGTTGCAAAGCAACCATGAACCACTCATTGTTTGTGGTCTCTCATGAGGAGAGCCCAGGCATGTGGGATGCCACCAACAGCACTGGGTTGCTGTCAGAAGTATGATTTGTTGTACAATTTCAGTGTGTAAGGGAGGACAAGCAAGGAAGTTCTCTGGAGGGGAAATATTGCTGTGATGGGAAGGGACGGTGGTTTGGTTTGGCTTTGAGTTGTCCCTTTAAACAAAGTTTCACTAATCTTTATAAATCATGGCGGAGATGGCAGTGCTGAGATAAGGAGCTCTGCATGGTGTTCATGCACATCTTGGTGTGGTGGTAGCCAAAAACCAAACATGCTGCCTTCCTTGCAGGTGTTTAAGTATATCAGACTTACTTTTAGCTAGGGCTTGAGTTTATCTTTGAGACAGAACCTCCTGGCAGTTTGGACCATCCTCACACTTGCTTGCAGTCTGACTGAATATTGGACCAAGCACTTTCCAAGGAGAGGAAATGTGGGAGATCTTGGGGAGTGCTCCTTGCTTGAATGTAAGGAAGGAGTATGTGAGCCCTGCCAGGCACCCCGGGCACCTCCTGTGCTCTGTGAGCCTGAGGAGGGGTGTGGGCATGGCAGCACACAGGATATCTATTATATCTATATAATTTCTCTATAATAGAGGATATCTACAATTACAGCCTTGCAAACCTCCACTGATCCTGTGGGAACCCTGTGCCAAATTACCTCTGTGACTGAGCCACGTGGACTTCTCTGGGCTAGGCTGCACTTTCCCAACCTATCCATAGAAATTGTGAAAGGAGGGAGACTCTTGAGAGTTTATTGACAGGTGGAAAATAGCAAGATGTTTCAAGACAAACACAAGAGACTAAGACCAGACTGTTGTGGCCAAGCTATGGCAATCTGCTGCTAATGGATTTCAAAAAGAAACCAATTTCTGGGTGCAGAAGGTAGAACATTGTCCTACTGGTATCAGACCTGTAATTCTGTAGCCTGACATCTTGTCACAAATTGGGATCCAACATTTCAAAGCAGATTTCCTCCCAGCTCCAGGTTCCTTTCTGCCCTGCAGTGACATTGTATTCAGTAACAGCATCATGATCCAAATTTCCAATTTTGAGGACCTGGTGCTCTCTGAGCAGCAGGCTCAGTGGCACACCCTAGGACATCTAATAACTTTCTGGAACATGTCCTCCTTTTGGTACAAGTTCTGTCAGCAGTCCTTGGCATATGGTCCAAGTTTCCAAGAAACTAGGGCAGTAATTGATGGCAGTGAAAGCGAGAATGCTTCACATAAGCAGTAAGAAATCCAGGTGACAATTTTAATGTTTTGTTCTTATCTTCAAGTATGGGAAATGCTATTCTAATATAATTTTAAGGCAACAGATTTGGGAGTGTCAATTATTTTGTTCACTCTGCATGTGAGTGACCTAGGACTGCTTTTAATTTCAAAAATGGTTTTCAATATGCCTTGCTGGCTTTCATCTTAAAAGACTTTTAAAGTGTTACTTCGTTTTATTTGTTTTTCCTTTAATAATGCTGAGAGCTAACTCTTCTGAGGAACCAAATAAACAGGACAAATAAAAGCAGTGGATGCCTGAAACAATAAGGTTTATTCTGTAAATGTTTAAGGTGCCTTTTATATTGGGCTGTAACTGACAGCTACAAATGCTGAGGCTGTTTGACAATCAGACCACCTGCAGAGGGATTTTAGGAGTTCAAGGACACCTCCTACTACTGATCTCAAGGAAAAATTCTGGCCTTTGTAGATCAGATTTAGTTCTCCTCCTCTGAAGAGTGAAAAAGTCGAGCTGGAGTGAGG